AGGCTTACTGGCGCTCCAGCGCTGACAAGGGCCGTCAGGCTGAGAAGCATAACGAAAACAGTAGGGAGGCGGATAAACATGATGATAAGTTGATTCCACTTGTAAAATGGTTGTTGGCAACTTGATTGTTGGTGCTGTCTCTTTTATACTCCACACAGAAGAGGGCGTCAAGTCGTGTTTTGGACATACTGGCAGAATGGTTGAGACGAAACCGTTCGAATGGTATTTGCCCAAAGAAGTTAACTGTAAACTGGACCGAGCCGATGGGATCGAATGCCGTTTAGCCAGCTGCAAGGTTTGTGACAGAGCCGAATATATACTTAGTATTTTTGCGGTCCGTGTACTTTGATCTCGACCAATTCCTAACTTCCAAGTTAGTGGGGAGGAGGGCGTTGTGGAAAATGATCGTGTTCCTATCGTGTCCTGGCACCAACGATGACCCGCCGTTACTTTCCGGCCAACCCGCTGGCGCAGTGACAGGTGACCTTGTACATATGCAATTTTCACTTCTTGATGTTCATTCTAGCCAATTGCCACGAAATCGGAAGAACGTTGCTACCTCCGCCTGCTAGGTTTAGGTACCTACTATATCAATATCGGTGGCTAGTAATTTGTACTTGACAAGAGCGACCCGTGCCTGCGGCGTGAACGACTGATAGGTGAATCACAGGTGAATCTCACCGGTTGTTGGCTCTTGGATTCACAGTACTTATGGAATGTTTCCTTGCCGACAACTGGCCAAGACACTATGCACGTCATCGTGAGGTTTTTTTATTTATTCCAATATTAATGGGGTACAATACCTTGTGTCGGACAGTAGTCTGTGGGGCTCCTGCCCTGTCTACATCTCTGGACTCCGACTCGGAATGCCCCGATGTCACAGGAAGAACCCTGTCGGTCGGTCCGCCGTTCCTGCCGGTCGTTTGAGATGCGCAAGTCCATTCGAAGATAAGTTGACTGCTCTCTTCGTGTCGTGTTATGTGAGTCGTTTGATCATGGGGTTTGTGTTCTGAAGCGCGTACTCGGTTGTCCCAAAGGACAGACATCGTGAAGGCTACACGCTTGTCCACGCGAATTCTATGTACTCACGATGTACACGTTGATCAGTAGGCATCTGCATTGCGTCTGCTGAGTTGAAGTACTTGATTTAATCGTCAAAGTCAGCGTCGTGAATTACCAAGTGAATGGCAGAAACTTGTGTAGGTCCAATTCTAGGTATTCCACCTGTGACGAGTTCTCATCCAATCTGGGTGGGAATACCACTAACTTGAAGAAGACTGGTGGCCGCGGTGACATGTTAGATATTAAGTTTGTTACCCATCCTCGAATTTTGGATAAAGTGACTTTTGGGAGAGAAATTAAGATACGCTTGTCGCGTTTGCGTTTTGCTAGAGGATGGTTGCACAACAGTTGTCATATGCGCATGATTGTTGTGGAGAGACGTACAGCAGCGCTAGCAAGTACTTAGTAGCGTCGACTGCGCGACCTGAGCAAAAGTTTCATATTCCGACGGCTCATGGCCCGGGTAAGCTGCAACCGAGATGACTATGATGGACGCAGCGCCTGCAGGACATTGAATATTGAATAGTGACATATGGGCCACCAGTGAACCGGTGAACAAATGAGAATGATATCTACTAAGGCAATATATTATTACACAATCCGCGTAGATCTGCTGACCGCTTTCACATGAGAATGTGTGGTAATATGTCGAGGAAATACTAATTTTGCTTCCTACTATTTTTCAATTGTCGATGGATCGAAGAAAAAATACATGAGCATAAATCCATGAAGTTAAATATGGACCCAGCCTGAGAGGAATGATGAAGGTGATTGCAATGTGCGAGAGTGAAAGACACTTCGGTGATGTCACTAGTAGTGCGGATGTGTATCATCTGAGCTTCGTGAATATATTTTTGCTAGCTAAGGATGACTATCGTACGCATGTTGTTTGCTCTAGGGTGAAAGGTACAAGCCTGTGTTGCAAAAAAAAAAGCTGACGCCAGAGTTGCGCATATAATATTTTTATCCGTCGATCGTCGCACAGGACAATTCATGTGACGTGGAGCGCAAACGCTGTCCCAAGATATGTCAAACTACATATGACTCCTCTGATGATAGCTAGTATCGACCGACTCATAGAAGAGACGTGAGGTCACGGTGGGAAGGCCGGTGCTAGTGTGGGCAATACTAGTTATATTACAGTACAAGAGAAGCACGGGGGCCAGCCTACGTTTATATAGCAAGTAAGTACGGTGCCTCATGAATGCATGACATAATGATACTGTAAACAGATTGTTGAATGCAAAAACTGTTCAAGAATATATGAGGTCTGAACAATGAAATTCATTCCTGATCGCTCCGGATCCTGTCTTGAGCTTTCTGTTGACAACAGAGTGTTCTAGAGTATCGCGGTGACATCTCTGTCCGGTACCCAGGTCTTGCTAGGGCGATCGAAAGTAAATAATTTTTTGTTCTCGACATAACACAGGAGCGCACGCAAATCACACACATCACAACGATATGGTTCGGTCTGCCACTTTCAATTCTTCGACCTTTAGCTTTCAAGTCATCCTCGATCGCATTGGAAGAACCAATAACTGAAGGAGTGTCCATCGATGAGGCTTCAGCAAGGCTGGCAAGTTACATCATCTTCGGATTCCTGACTCGGGCCAGAGTACTTAGTTTGCGTGCATTCTTCTGGCCTCTGGCCCCATTAACAGTTTTCGTTCGGTGGTGAATCCCAACGATTTTGGTCAGTCCGTCGAGAATCTAGGTTGGCACGTACGCACCTCGGGGATATATCTTATGTTTCTGAGACGACCCTCGCGGGGTGTGAAGGGGATTCCTTGTCGTGGACAGACTATCACATAAAAAAGGAGGTTTCGGCGCAATGACTAGACCTAGTTAAGATGGACCTCCGAGTATCTATACACCCAAAAATGTTATCAGTAGGTTTCGAACCAACTCCAAGAGAAACAGATTTTGACTCTGTTGCGGTAATCACTTGGCTAAGACCAGTTGGATGGACCTCCGAGGAAACCATCCATGAGTAAATATCAAGGTGTGTTCCGATAGAAAAAAACCGCCATTCGGCAGGTTTTGAACCTGCACAGTCCAAGAGAAACAGATTTTGACTCCGTTGCGGTAACCATTTGGCTAAGATCAGTTGGATGAAGCTGGGAGGACACCATCCATGAGTGAATGTCAAGGCGTGTTCCGTGAAAAAACTTGTCGGACTGAGGTTTCAAACCTACACAGTCCAAGAGAAACAGATTTTGATTCTGTTGCGGTGACCACTTGGCTAAGACCAGTTGGGTGGACCTCCGAGGAAACCATCCATGAGTCAATGTTAAGGTGTGTTCCGATAGAAAAAAACCGCCATTCGGCAGGTTTTGAACCTGCACAGTCCAAGACGAATAGATTTTGACTCCGTTGCGGTAACAACTTGGCTAAGACCAGTTGGATGGAGGTCGGAGGAAGCCATCCATGAGTGAATGTCAAGGTGTGTTCCAGGAAAAAAAACTTGTCGCACTGAGGTTTCAAACCTACGCAGTCCAAGAGAAACAGATTTTGATTCTGTTGCGGTAACCACTTGACTAAGAGCAGGTGGATGGACCTCCGAGGAAACCATCCACGAGTCAATGTCAAGGTGTGTTCCGATAGAAAAAACCACCATTCAGCAGGTTTTGAACCTGTACATTCCAAGAGAAAAATATTTTGACTCCGTTGCGGTAACCACTTGGCTAAGACCAGTTAGATGGACCTCGGAGGAAGCCATCCGTGAGTGAATGTCAAGGTGTGTTCCGGAAACAAAACTTGTCGGAGGAAGGTTCCAAACCTACGCAATCCAAGAGAAACAGATTTTGATTCTGTTGTGGTAACCACTTGGCTGAGAACTGTTAAGGTGAACATCTAACGAAACCATGCATGAGTGAATGTCAGGTGTATTCTGATAGGAAAAAAAACCTTGTTGTCGATTCGACAGATTTTGATTCTGTTGTGGTAACCTGGCTTAGACCAGTCATGAATCAAGATGGTCCTCCAACGAAACCATGAGTGAATCTTGGCGCATTCCGATAGAAAAAAACCTTATGATCGGCAGGTTTCGAACCTGCACGGCAGAGTCGAAGAGACAGATTTAGATTCTGTTGTAGTAGTAGTACTACTTCGGCCAGGACGCAGTTGAGATGGCCCTCTGAGGAGACCATTCATGAGGGAATCTTCAAGGTGTATTCAGAAAAAACCTGGCGATCGGCAGGTTTGGAACCTACACAGTCCGGGGGAAACAGAATTTGATTCTGTTGTGACAACCACTTGACTAAGACGAGTTAATACGCATCCCAACGAAACTATCCATAAGTGAATGTCAAGGTGCGTTCAGATAGAGAAAAACCTTGTCAAATTAGCAGGTTTCGAACCTGCACAGTACAAGGGAAACAGATTTCAATTCTGCTGTGTCGATCGGCAGGTTTGGAACCTACACAGTCCAAGGGAAACAGATTTGGATTCTGTTGTGGTAACCACTTGGCTAAGACGAGTTCATATGCATCTCCAACGAAACCATCCATGAGTGAATGTCAAGGCGCGTTCCTATAGGAAAAAACCTTGTCTCATCAGCAGGTCTCGAACCGGCGCAGTTGAAGAGAAACAGAATTCGATTCTGTTGTGGTGACCAGTGCACTTCGGCCAGGGTGCTTCCTAAGTTTGAGAACCTCCGAAGAACTGGTCAAGGTGAGGGAAAATCATATTTCAAATCTGCAACACCTTTGAGAACAGATTTCTAATCTGCCAGTTGGGTGTGATGAGATAGACCTTGAAGGATCCGTCCATGAGTGAATATTTGAATGTTCAAGGCGTGGTAAAAGGAAAAACATTGTTGAGCAGGTTTCGAACCTTGTCGACAGATTTCTATTCTGTCACCCTTACCACTTGACTAAGACTGGTGTCTACGAGTCGAAGAACATCATGTACTAACAGTAGAATTACGGGGGATTAGCAGTTATTTGCCAATGCAAAATTAAACAAAAAGATCAGCTTGCGTTTAATTCGATGGACACAAAATAAGAATAACCGAGTAGGGGCTGGCGCCGAGAAGTTAGCCAGTGTCTACAATAATAAGCGTAGTATGTACATAAGAGCGTAGATCTCCCATGAGTTAATCCAGAGCATCCAGACTCTCCCGTAAGAGTCTTACCCGCTCCTCAACAGCATTCAACGTCGAAGTGATAGAATCCACCTCCGACCTCCAATCACCGCCCACTTGACTCACAAGTACCGACCCATCACCAACAGCCCCACCACCAAAAGGCCCAATATTACCTCTCGCCCTCCCAACAGCCAACTCCTCCCAAATCCGAGAAACAATATCCTGCACCCACTTCTCCCTCTCCTCAGTCCTCTTCGCCTCCTTCCTTCTCCCCGCTTCCTCCCTCTGACCCACAAGCATCAATGTCCACAGATTACTAAACACAAGAATAACAATAACGAAATATAAAATCGTCATCGCCGAGCTCTGTTCCCAAGCTTCCTTGACAAGTTCAAGCGCTCCAAACGTAGAGCGCGTCGCAACGCCGTAGGCACCATCAAACGTCTCATATGCCCATTGAAGCCCACGTCTGTTACGTTCGTGTTCGCGTGCCTTGCGGGCTGCCGCGTCTGAGATGCCCGAAGAGCCACCGAGGAGAGTGGGGTTCATGAATTCGATTACGGGGCTGAGGGGCTCGACGGGTGCCACGGCTGTTGGGTCTACGCCTGCTGGGATGAATTCGGATTGGTGTTCTTGGATGTACATCCGCATGGCTTTGTCGAGGTCGGAGTGGTATACCTTTTGACCGTCTATTGCTGACTTTTCGATCAGACCTTTGCGTATTGCGAGCGTGAGCACAAGATGTTGTGGGAAGAGAGAATAGCAAACCTTTAATGAAACTTCTCCCAGTCCAATCTACTTGCGTGGTGACGATCACCCGTGTGGAAATAGCGCTTGCCCACATTAAGCATGTCTTCGTCTTGACGGTGAACACGCCTCCGCTAGGCACGTCGGGTGTCTTCGTCGTCGTCAACATCACGACGTGGTCATCAAAGTCACAGGTCAAGGTTTCATCGTGGATCTCGCACTTTGTTTGCTTCGGGCCGACGCTATTGTTCAGGGGCTTAATATATGACATATTCCGCGCCAAAAGCTTCAAGTTGTCGCCTGTGGGAATCCAATCCGATATCTGCACATCTGAATGGGAAGCATTAGTGCCAGTGATTCGCGGGTAAAGTGAGATGCCACCCACCCATAAGCTTCTGATCCACCCGCATAAAATCCTTGATAAACCCACTCGCAAACATCAGGTTATAAATCTTGTCCGGTGTCCCAGGTAATACTGTTTCTAGCGCGATCTCATTAAGATGCTGTGCATTCTTCGAGCATGCGCAGTGCGTGACTTTGTTTTTGTTAAAGCGAGCCACAGGAGCTGTTTCTTTGCCTCCGCTCGTGACCAGGGGACCTGAAACATCAGAAGTACTAGCGGGCGAAATGATGTTGCCAGACGAGCCGTTTTGACTTAGAGTATCATCAGGACGGGAGAGTCGCCAGATATTGGCGATCACGTCATAAGTCGTATCACGGGAGAGGAACGAGGCAAAGGTGTATTTTGCCTGTCGGGTGGTTATTTGGATGGCATTGGGGATGACAAATGCTGTCATCTTCTTCTCGAGAGCGGTTATTTCGTATATTGGGATTGACAGCTGTGGGGGTATCACTTAATTTGCAAGAATGTATAACCGCGTGCAACGTACGTCGGTGATCCACCCGAAAATGTTCGCATGGAAACATATGTGGTTCTCTGAGATGTATATCCGGCCTTGGATGAGGATCTCGCGCTGTAATGCGCACCCATAATCTACAAGATATGAAGCAGATATTTGACATTTTCAAAATGGGACAAACCTTCGATGAGATAATCGCCTTCGGGAATACTAGGGAACAACTCGTGGAAGTCTGCATTACGCTTGCTGCTTGCAACGGCGAAACCCGTGACGGGAATATCTTCATTAATATCAAGTTCGTCATCCGACCCCTCGCTCTCTTCGCTGGAAGCAAACGTGTCTGTCTGGCCGTCTGAAAAGTCATCTCGACTGGACAAGGGGTGCCTCGTGCGAGCGCTGGCATCGACAGGACTGGGCATAGACGTCACGGAGGCAGAAGCGGCATACTGCATCGCAGAGCGAGCGGAACCATTTGATCTGACCGTTCCATTGGTAACTTTTTTTGATGCCGAATTTGAAAGAGGAGAAACAGGGGAGATTTGAGAACCAGTATTGGACATGGTGAGACTAGAAGCGGCTGTAGCAGGAGCAACACCAGGATGTTTGCGAGTGGGAGTAGTGAGTGAAGGACGACGCCAACCTTTCTTCTTCTTTGAAGCTGAACTATTAGCTGAGCGGATGGATCTTGCGTCGGCGTCGGTGAGGGTAGGTAAAAGCTCCTGTTGATGATGGGTGCCTCTTTGGGCATGGCTTATTGCGGTGGGTGAGTCCACGAGGCCATTTTCAATTATGACGGCATTGTGTTCGTGGCGACCAGTTCGCCGGTGCGCATCGGAACGAGTATTACTCTGGGAGTGATCGAAATCGAGTGGAGCTGGGGGCTGTGTCCTATTGCGTAGTGACTTCTTTGAGGGAGTTCTATCGACCACCTTGTGAGTATTTGAAGGATGAGTGTTGGTGCGCTTGTCTATAAGGGCTTTCAGGTTCCCGGTGGACGATGCAGGTGTCAGCTGATGAGAGGCTTTGGGTGAGCTGTCAGCGCTTGTCTTCCATTCTTCAGGACGAGAACGAGAGGGGGTTGGAGTTGGAAGCATGTCATCTGTGGACAAAGACGAGTCACTTGTCATGGGACGAGCAGCGAAGGATAAAGCATGTCTATCTGGGACCATCCTGTCCTGTGAGCGGGCACGTCGATGTTGAGATGTATCAGGAGGGTGGTCTTGCGGAGGAGGATCAGGAAAAGTAGAAAGGGCTGAACGAGGGGAAGGTGGAATTATACCAATTTTGACACTGCCTTTTGTACTAGAATTGTCACTGGCGGGGTCAGGAAGAGATGGGTGTGAAATATTTTGAGAATGTGGAGATGCGTGAATGTTTTGACGGGATGGAGCAGTCGTATTCTCTCTTCCGCTCGGAGATGAAGACGTACTAGGCTTCACGAGCTTTGAAAAGAAGTTGGGTGCCATGGTCTAGCTGATAGGAGCTATTAGCGACGTCGTGACACGTTGCAATTGATGGTTGAGCTCGACGACGCAGGCGGTACCGACTGCGTTTACTTACCGAGGTCGACGCTGCCAACGACGCCCAACACAGGAATTAATAATCTTGACATTGCACCACTTAACCCAAAAAGGTAATCAGCACTCCGCTGACCTTCTCGCTTAGATATAAAAGCATGTCTAACTAGTTAGTGAATTAACTACCATCACCATGATCGATCCGTCGAACTCTTTACAGTGATGATCACCTTTCCTCCAGCAATCACTTGGGCTCAAATCATAATGAGGACCAGTAATTCATTTGCGAGTCTCTGAACACAATAATGTCATCGGTATCTTTGGATCCATCACCGATTATCGAGAGGTTCACCATCCGCATACTATACTGATGAGTCGAATCAACTACTTGATGATCAGCCTCATTATATTCCATAGTCTCGTAGTATTATTAGGCAGACCGCAGACGTATAGAAAGTTAATCGAATATCCTACCAAACCTGCTTAGACTTCTGACTCACTTTTGGCGGCAAGCGATTCGGTTATCGTTATCCAAGAACTCGTAGGCACACGTATCATTGACATACCGTTGACATAGGCTGACAATTATTTCATCGAACAGATCGAATGCCCAGGAAATGAAGCTATCATTGATTACTGATGTCTATGCATAGTCCCCCCACTTCCAATAACTCGCTCAGTCCGACACATACGACAACATCGTCTTCGGAACTGGACGGTTCCAGTTGCGAAATTGTGCCCGTGAGTAGCAAAGACAATGGGCGCCCATTGTCGTCTTGTACTTATCAGATACCCCATTTTGTGGCCGCGGAGTCTCAGAAGGGTCTCAAGTTGATCTTGCTGTGCAGCCTTTGTGATTACTGGGAGGTTTTTCTCAGGTCCAGGCCTCCGGATAAAGTGATACCTGCAATTCGAATATTCGTTATCTTATCACTAATCGATTGACCTAGACCTAATCCTGCAGGCAGCCACTTAAAGGGGCCTCGACGTCACGGTGACGTGCATAGCTGAAATGAAGTTCTCCCAGTCCCCATTCCAATCGATATACATCCTCCGACATCCTTTGACATCCTCTTTGTACTTTTCTTCAACCCCCTTTTGTTTGTTTGTTCTGTCATACCCTTGTCTCACTCTTCCGTATTACATATAAAATACATATATTCTCATTACACTTGGACCAAGGTCGTAATATGCCTTTCAACCCCATAGACGATGCCCAAGACTTCACAAGAATCGTGAGTGCCTATTCCATGCATTCTTAAACTCCTTTTCTCACTGTCGCTCCCAGATCAACAGCGGTAAAACCGTATTGATAGATTTCCACGCAGACTGGAGTGGCTTATGCCGGTCGACTTCTCAGCAATTCTCCGAGCTCTCTGACACATTCGTTCGCATCGGCGTGGATTTCTATCGTGTGAACGTGGATGAACTGGAGGACGTGGTGATGGAAGCTGATGTACGCGTTGTATGTATTTTCAACATGATGTCTTTGTGGAGCCAATTGAAACCGAAGAATATTATAGGTCCCTACTTATATGGTGTTCAAGGACGGGAAGAAGGTAGGGCATGCCACGGGCGCCGATGCGTTAAGTCTGCACGTGAGTACCTCGTGTTTGATGTCGTGCACCCTCACCGATTGTCGCGGGTAGAAATTGATGGGTTCGTACATGACGGAATGCGAAGTTGTTGCTTAAAGGCAACTTACTAGACAAGAGACAATCAATTGCGTTGTAATAATATGAAGAGGTCATGGAAGGGATCGTCTGGTTATGATATGGGGAAATCAATGTATAAATTACATCATGTATAACGACTTTTGGCTTACCATACACTGCGCGTAGCCGCATTATGCTTAGCTCGCACAAACGTGACCTATCTTCGGATGCTGGCACCACAAAGATAAGTAAGAGAAATCCCGCTATTAGTGCGAATGGAAGCTTGCCGTCATGGGAAGCAACGTGTCTCGATACAAACCTAGTATAGCGCCTATAATCGCGAGTCGTATCAAAAAATAATGACTACTTCCCATGTTCTCTTCTGCCGCGGCTGCACATCGAGCTTCGTGAGTTTATACAAAGTGAATCAAGAGCGTTATTGAGATGGTTGGATATGAATGCGGGGACGAGTGGCCGGAGAGGATCTGCCGTGCTTCGTTGGGCAACATCACGGTGACTGTGAGAGTACGCAGGAACTGATTCTATTTTTTGATTCGTAGGATCTGAAACGTTGTACTTCGATGAAACACAGATTATGCGTATGCAAGGCGATAAGTCTAGGCGTTTTCGGTTAATACAGTAGCCTGTACGGCCGCTCTGTCGCCCTGTGCTGTAGCCTGATGCTCGTCGTCCGCGTCACGCCAGGTCGGTTCCAATTTTACTTTGCATTCTAAATGGGAGCAGAAGAAAACAAAGACAAACAATCCCTGTTAACTTGTCATACCCGGCATCGCGAACATCGACCTTTCATTTCTTGCTCTTTCTTTCATTCACCATTCGGACTGCTGCTTTTCTGCTGCTGACCCTCTTCATGCCATTGCTTGCAGGAATATTTGCTAAACGAGATAGGCAGTCCGGTGCTCGCAGCGCAACATCCAATTTAAACGTCCCAACGACGCCGACTTCTACGGCTTCCATCTCTAGTGGCACCGTAGTCTCTTCAGAACCAGATTATGTCTTTCCAGACAAGTCTCTAAAGTCTATTCCGGCCGCAGTTTATACCGGTCCAGCAGTCGCTTCATCGAGCAAGCTGAAACTGCCATTCCGTCGGAGACATGTACATCAGCCACATGTCTCAGGCACCTCCACAAGCGTATTCTCTCTCAACGATAGCCCGCCACGCACACATATATCCAGCGTTGTCTCTGATTCAGGGCACGACCTCCCGCCTTCCCCACCAAAACCGTTCTTCTTTGGAGCATACCACGACCCCAGCATTAATTCCACACTTTCGCTTCCCAATGAAAACACGCGCCATCAATCCGGCTTGGATACCCCTTCCGTCATCGCACGGAATGAGATACACAGTGCACCCCCGTCTTCTTCTTCGATGCCACCTAATCCAAAAAAATCTGGCGGGTTATTCTCGTGGGCTAGAGAGCGTACTAAATCGAAACCTGCCCCGCCACCAGCAACTATTGCAGCTCCTCCCACTCCAAGTCCCTCACCGAGGGAGAATTTTAATTTGAAAGCTTTCCGCCACGTTCGTTCCGAGTCGCCCCCTTCTCTAGCTGATGTTCCAAATGTCGAGCTTCCGCTTCCTCCTGTCCGGCCACGGCCGCGCGGAGACAGTGTTGCTTCAGATTCCTCTCAAAGGATATCTGTTGCAGCATTTCGTGAAGCACAAGCTCGTCGGAGCCGTGCAAATTCCCCTGTACCTTCATTCCGACCCCCTTCTTCCCTCGATACTCTTCGTGCTGAAAATATGTCCAGACAGCGGGCTTCTACGGTTTCAACGCCTACCGGAAGTGAACACCACCTATCATCTAATCGTGATTCAACTACCACCCAGCTGTCCATCTTGGTTAACCGAACTTCGTCCGCTTTGGACACTAGTACTTCAGAGTCGGATGAATCTGACGAATCTAATGAAGAAGTGGATAGTGATGGCGTGCCTATCAAGCCCAGTCGCAAACGCACCGTGACTCGTCGCCCTGGTCCGCGCTCGCAGTCCGATGCGGGGCATGCACCCACTGCATCGAACGCTCAGGCTCGACGGCCAGTTCCTCCGAGATGGTCAAAATCGGACAATGTGCAGCTACGGCAGCCTGACAACATGGCTGCCATGCGAGCGAGAGCATCTGCCTCCACTAGTGCTCTTACACCCAATGCTGCTGCCCGTCGTGCATCGACTTTGGCTGCTGTAAACGCTTCTGCCGCATCATCAGGCAAGTATACAAGTTATCAATATTCTTGTTTCTAAACATGACTTTTAGCTTCAGATAAATCTTCGTCGTCGCCTTTGTCACCAAGAGCGGTGAAGGATGACGACTCCGATACTTCATCAGATTCGGATAATGATTCTGAAGACATGCCTTTGTCCGCGCTCGTTGCACCACGCAGACCGGGAAGTTCTGCATCCATATCCACTAACAGATCCGCTGCCTCGCGGCCTCGGATGCCCGCGAAGCCCCTGATTGATATCAAATCACTCGTAGGAAGTCCTCCGATGCTCACGCCTGTCCTGAGGCACGAGCATTCAGTGAAAAAACCGTCTACAAAGGGTAAGGAACGTGAAGTGGATAGGGACGAGCCCTTTGCTCCTCCCCCTGTTATCAGCTTGACGCCGAGTCGCATGGCTGAGAGTTTTGCTCAGGAAACTCCCCGTTCACCTGCTGGCCCAACTCCCAAGGTTCCTTCTCCCACCCGCCATAAGAAGTCGAGCAGCGATGTTGGGTCCATCCCTCGGCCATCCTCTTCACCAATTGAGGTTGATGATGATTTGAAGGACGCCATCAGACTCGTTACTTCCTTTGATCAATCACGAGATTCCTCACAGTCGCCTACACAACCTTCCCAACAAGTGCCGCCCCTGAACGCCGTTCCGCCACCTGCTGTCGAACGTTTGCCAAGTGCTGATGACAAGCCAGAATCTCCTCGTGACGACCGCATTGTACCAACGCCTGTTCGAGAGTATAAACCACCGGCTTCTTTCAGCGTCACCTCACGCCCTCCGCGTCGATATACCACTGATCTCTCTCAGGCAGTATCACCAGCCTCGCCGACAGCGACATTCTCCACCGTCTCCAAAAGGCCTCCTTCTCCACAACGATCTCCTTCTCCTATCAAGTCTTCATTCTCTTCCCGTCCTCGTTCTCAGGCAGTATCATCAGCCTCGCCGACAGCGACGTTCTCCACCGTCTCCAAAAGGGCTCCTTCTCCGCAACGATCTCCTTCTCCCACCAAGTCTTCATTCTCTCCTCGTTCTCGTGCAGGTATCCTAGCTCAGCAGTCCAAGGTACCATCAACCGACAAGTCAGATGTTTCTTCCGTCGTCTCAACTTCTCGTTCCTCGCGCTCTTCTCGTGTCCCACCTGTCCCTCTCATCACCGCTGTACCTGATTCACCTTCCGTGAAAGCCAGTTGGGGGTCTTCGAAGGACTTATACAAGACACGCCCTCCTTCGACGCCAAGTGTGTTGGATAGCAGAATGTCTCGGCCACCGTCAGGCACGCTTGTCTCCCTTGCGCCTTCCGCAAGGCCTGGGATCCCCGCAGCACCAAGGTCGCAATCGCAGTCACTCATGCCCTCCCGCCCATTCGCCAGCAACAGTTCTTTACGAGGCCAGAGCCCCGCCGGTAGCTCAACAGGTGACTCCAGCAGTGGTCGTGGTGCGCCGTTCACTCCACATGATGGTAGTGATATTGGGGTGAACATTGGGCTGAGGGATGGAAGCGATGCGGACTCGACGCTCAAGGCGCGCGGGGCGAATGCGAAGCGGTCATCTGTGAGCTTTGGAGATGATCTGCCGCGTGGTCGTGAGAGGGTGAAGAATGACGCTGATGATGAGGAGAAGCGGAATGAGAGGAGACGGAATGAAGCGAAGTCTGCTATTGAGGTTTGTGTTATCTTTTGTGATTGTTATTCGTCGCCCTGATTTTTTTTGATCGTAGTTCGGGAAAATCGTCAATGGTCGTGGACCCATTGTGCATAATGGTTCCGACGAAGATCTTGTGCCTCAGCATGGACAGCGGATGAGCATCAATCCCATGATGGGCATGGATGGCATGATGCCTGGGATGAATGCTCCTGCGTGGGGGCCGTGGCAGCAGCCCATGCCGACAGGTATGGGGCCTATGGTGGCTTCTCAGTTCAGCCCCGACCAGAGCTACTTCGTTGCTCACCAGCGCGCGATGATGATCGCGAAGCAAGCGTACCAAATGGCAGTGGCTCAACATGCGATGGCGTTAGCCGGAGACGAGTGGGAACGAGGGTCCAATATCGGCGGTGGGTCTGTGTATGGGGGTGGTGGAGGTAGCGTGTACAGCGGAATGGGAGGGGGCGGGATGAGTATGCTGGGCGTCCCTGGGATGAGCATGCCTGGTATGATGCCAAACCAGTGGTCCACGGGCTCCGTCATGTTCCCCGGTCGGATCAACAGTACGCAGAGTGAGTTCGGAGGAGGGTCGAGGAGTGTGTACGGGGAGTCGTTTGGCCCATCAATGTCCTCCCGTTCGAGCCACACGCCATCTGGGCACGGCGTCCCGAACAATCCTGCGAGTTCCTATGGAGGAGGTTCACGACCGCGCGCCAAGACTGGCGCTTCTCAGCCTTCGAACTTGCAGCCACCGATGCCTGGTAGGAATCCCGGACGAAAAGCTGCTCCCCCATCGAGCTGGAAGAGCGCGCGATAACACGTACGATGACTTCATGACGTGCATCCATTTTTTTGATTTTCACCTGCATATTTATTAAGACGTTCCGCCTAGTCGCTCTTTGGTACTACGACTTTTCTTTTAATTCCACGACAGCGCTCGAACGTTTTTTTTTCTTTCTGTTTGTTTTTTGGTTGAAGACACTGACGCATATACTTCAAGCTGCATACAAAGATGTGCGTGGATTTTGCATTAGTCGATTCGATTCGTTTGGATTTCGACTTTCTCTCTCTTTCTTTTTTCGACTTTCTTATCATCGTCATCATTTGCATTGACATTGAACTAGCATATACCACGATTATGGTTCCTGTTGGGACAATCTTACGCATCATCAATCTCACTTGCTTGCATCGTCATCGTTCGATATTTGAGTATGAATTTGAATCACATCTAACGTGTCACGGCCTTCACACAGAGCAAAGCTACGTAACTGCCAGAGGCTCAAGCGCTCATATCCCAAATGAGAATTGTTTTGTTGCTCCCGCCCAGGAGAGGAGACAAATCGGCCTCCTAAAAATTTTCAAATTCGAAATCCCCTCTTCTTCTACAACCATGACGATGACGGTTGGATTCTTGTCGCTTCCTACAGAACTCATATGTCGCATTCTAACCCTCCTTAACCCCAAGGACATTAATCGCTGTGCAATGGTCCGCTATTTCTCTTGTTTCACATTTCCTCCAGGGCTAACTTTTCATCATGCTAGACCTGTAATACCTTTTGCACTGTGGTCTGGAATTCTGTTGACATTCAATACAAGCTTGAACTTTATGCTCAGGGCTTGATTAGTACTGAGACTGGTGCCATGCACTCGAACGGCATTTCCGGAAAGATGTGTTCGCTCAAGAAATTGGCATTTTTGTGGCGATCTGACTTTCAAGCGAACACTATCTTTGAAACCTTGGTTACTGCTGCTACCTTTCCCATGCCATCCCAATTTGTGAAATGTGGGCTTTGGTGGACAGACCCGGGCATGACATTGGACACATTCCACATCCAGGACTGTAGAACGGATCCCAAACTCTCCCGTGCATGGTCTACAAATGATTTATTTCCACAGCACTGGCCCCCGGGCTTTGTTGCCTTCGATCCACTGCAGGATCTTATGGCCGTATTTCTGAGCCCCATTGTATCACTGTGACCGATGCAGAACGAGATCACCATGTTTTTTTCGGTGGAGTTTCGACTGGCTTCATCCCAGCGTCCGCATCCGAATGCTGTGTGCGCTTCCTTGGAGTGCAAACATACTTTTGATGCACCTGGATATTACCGTGCTGATTTTGCGCAGAGCCCCGTAATCTGTGGTGATCGTGTATTTGTCTTTTATTGCACAGATGGCGCGGATGATGGCACGGATGATGGCACGGATGATGGCGCGGATGACTTGATGTCCGGCATATTCATACAAGTGATCAATTGGAGGAAGGGATATGCAAATAGTGTAAGTTCCCTCTGTTTGTGAAAATTCTGCTGCTCAACATCAGCAGCATTATTTATGTCAAATGGATCGTTATTACTATCCAGTTGACGAACAGAAGATTGTTGTCATTGGCCACACAGGCTTGATATACCTGTACACGTTACAAGGGCTTGATGGGGCGCCTCAACGCCGAATCACATATCACCTTCCGAAGAGCTGCTATGATTCATCCTTGTTGGGCATCCTTATTCATGTCCACCCATCATTCCATGGTAAAGTAGCACGCTCAGACCTCATGCCCAGCTACGTGCCATCCCTGGAGTCGCAGATTATGGTTTTAGAATTTCTTTCCTTCGCGGGGGACGCTATCCTAGTCATCGATATGGCCATCTTCTCTGATATGGCCTTGCACTCGGATACGCCCATCAATGTTCCTTGGTCAAACTGGGGACCTCAGCACGTGTACTATTTTCCGCACGACAGAAACTGCCATATCAGTGTGTTTGGTAGCAAAATGGCCTATGCTCTTCCCCAAGATCGTGTTCCTGATCCTGGTCAAAGACTAGAAGTGCTCTCAACTGAGAGCTACTTCTACGTCCACATCTGGGACTTCAATAAGCGGGTCATTGCTCGTTCGCAAAGTATCAATGATCCCGACTCGCCAGATTTTTTCATCTGCAAGCCAGCTCGAATGACTGACTCTGGAGAAATCTTCTCAAATCATGCATACACTGCGACTGTCTGTCGTACACCTTTTCCGATGCCGCGTGACTCCAGAATGTTCTTAGAACTGGATCGGCTTACTTTGACATGGGTACGTGTTCTTCGTTTGAATACAGCAACGGTCTGATGTGGCCAAATTGTAGGCTCGGGAAGGTGAGATTAGTATCAAGGTCATTTCCCCCGTCCAGGCGGAGGTTGGCCGGAGTTCTGGACCTCATAGAAAAGGGAAAGAGCGTTGGACTCGGCGACGACGATATTTGGTTTAGTGCTTTCGTATTTTTACTCAGGCTTACTGTGACTCCATGTATGTACGCGTGGGGGGCCCGAGGCCTTGGGGTCTCACCATTGAATAAGGCATTGCATAGACGCCTCATGACCATGGCGTTGGTTTTCAGTGATGCTGTTGATATTTTACGGGTTTAGACCGGACCGGGTATCAAACCGGCCCTGTGTGATAGACAATTAATTTTGCTATACCAGTACCTATTCTAGGTCCTGGAATACTCTCACGGCGGTCCGACCCGATGATCATAACAAGAAGCAGTTTTAGCGACTTTGCTCGCTTGCCGAAGTCTACAACATACACAAAACACGTACCAGGTTAATCACCGGATGCTGGTCCGCAGGAATTCCAGGTAGACGGGTGCACAGTGAGTGAGGCAGTCGACAGCAGCGGTAATGGACTTTGATGATGCTTCGAGATCTTCAAGTTAGGTAAGAAACTGATGGAAATGCTTGCTTGCTAGTAGCAAGCAAGCATTCGAGGTCAGATCATTTTCGTCACGGACGGTAGTACCGCTGACGAAAATGATCTGACCTCGAATGCTGCACTACGGAATGTAGGGTTCTGTAGCTTACCCGGACAACAATGATTAGTAAGAAGAAACGGCTACCTTCAATTGTCCGTGGCGGGCCATCACTTCGTGGGTTGGCACAACCCTACTACTGCCGTGTTCTGCCAGTTCTGCCGGCGGAACTACCCGCAAATAGTTCTGCCTACAGCACTATGGGTGACCCATGTGCATGACTTCGTGAGTCATTTTTGATATACAGCAATGATTTGTCAGTTGTCATGAAACATTGTAAAACGCCAACGTTAACCCGCCCCCCTGGCTGGATTTGTCAGTTCCTGTGCGAAGCAATGAACAAGTCATGATACTCTGTTGCGCTAGCGTCAGCCATTGGGTACAGCCTCAGCGAAGTATTCATGCATAAAAAGCGACCATTGAAAGGTCAGTTGCTCTTCATGAACATGGCGTCACTTCTCAAAGTTCCACTTATCCTCTCGTCTGCTATCATGCTGCAAATATCGCTCACTCCCCCACACGTCCCCCCGAGTAAAGAGATTATCCACCAAACATTTAATGAGTGGGTTTTCACTCGGACTATTAAATACGGGTTTCCGGTTTTGAAGGCAAGTGTTTTGGTTGTTTGTCCACGGTCATTTTTACAGAGCGATGCGCCAGGCAATTTACTGGGCTGTTTCTTTAGCAGAGATCGCTACCATTGCCTCTCATGCAATCGACTCTCTGTCCGTTATACAGGCCATCACACAGTATGCGGTCGGCCATAGGATTCTCGATACACCCATTACTTTCCCTTTCATTTTGGGCACCGCACTTGCCATCACAGGAGGTGTCATCCGCTGGTGGTGTTATCGCACCCTCGGACGTTTTTTCACCTTCCAACTCAGTGTCCGCCAAGGGCACTCTATTGTCACGACTGGACCATATGCTGTCATACGCCATCCATCATATACAGCAGCTTTTATACACCTCACCGGCATGCTAATTCTGCACGGATCGCCCACTTCATGGCTTAGACGCTCCGGAATTTTAGATGTTCCTGGACTCAAATTAGTTGTGGTGGCATGGCTGGCGCAGATGTCAGTTGTTATGATAAACATCGTGTGCAGGATCAGCCAAGAGGATGAAGCACTGAAATCGGCTTTCAGAGACGAGTGGGAGAGGTGGGCGAAGGTAGTCAGGTACCGATTGGTGCCTGGCGTCTACTGAACCCATAGCACCTGAATTTAGTCGCCCCCTTTCCTCCTCCGACATTGAAGGGGATTCATTTCAAGTTCATTTCATTCTACGATAGCGCTCGGTTTCTTCTTTGGTTGACGGTAGCGCTGGTAGCCAGACTGTAGGGATGTGCTATAGATTTTGTATTACTAACTTGGTCTTTCAATTTCGATTTTCTACTACTGTTTACCGCGTCATACTGCTAGTCAATTATAATTTATTTCAGCTGGTCTCCTCTGCGTATCGAGGGACCGTTTTTGGCTATTCCGGCGTGCGTGCGCCTCCTTGAATCGTGCGAGACCCATCAGTCTCATCTATTGTACATGACATTCTATGCTAACCTGATATTTGTTGACATAGTACATATTTCGACTTTCTTTTTTTCCCCTACGTCATGTGAGAAATTCAGGATCTCGATCAACCCTTAAGGCACGACTATATTTAAGAGAGACTAGGATCAACCATTCACCGGAATCATCCGGCGGCATCGTTTCAGGCGCCATGCCCCCCCCAATCCCCCATGTCATTACAGGATCAAATGTTCGAATGGTGAGATAACAAATCATCGCCATATGGTGCAATTACGGACCTGTGCCAACTGACAAGAATAACTTTGTGCAGATGCTTGCACTGACGCGGCCGGAACCTGTTCCCCCATCTACAGTGGAATATACTTTACCACATGACACCTCCTATCAGATCGTAGCAGTGGCGAGCCACCAATCCCCGACTCTGCCTGCCTGATTACAAGGTCGTATGCTGTATTCCACGCTACGCCATTGTGTTGATGCTGGACATGCACCTTGTTCTCGTTACCTCCTGTGTCTAATGATTTGTTTTCTACTTAACCGAGCTCCTGTATGCGCTCATGTGCTGTGAACTCCCTCCCTCAGTCCAATTCCAGTACTGCACTGGTCCCCAGTGCTGTTCATTTACACTGTACATTGGTGTATTCTCATCCATGATTCTTGGGGGCGGCACCAGCACTCTTATGGCTGTGATATGTGCTCTGTATGTGTTCATTTTTTCGCCCATACTGTGGCTCATCACGGTGTCCTTGACAACTCATACAACGCTTCTCGCACCGCCAGTGTGTGCGTCTATATTCTATTACATTCTGTCCTCACTGTCTTTTCTTGTCAACGTGTGATCTTCTCTGTCTCTGTGATCGCTCACAAATTTGTGTTCAAATGTCAGTCTGACCGCTCTGTCCTCGGCCAAGAACCCCCTCATCGTCCGAAGTCGTTCTCTTCTGCAACTTTGTCTTGCAATAACTTCAGATTTTTTACTGTCACATCATGGTCGAATGCAAATGGGACATTGTGAGGCAACCCTGTCATGCACAACGGCCTCGCGTCACATATGTGCTTTGCTGCGGCAGTGGGCCCTCGCCAGTTTGCATCGCTTGTCAGGTGGTAATCTCGCACTGACTCAGAGACACCGACGGTGCAGGCACCTTCTTACACACTACATACCGTCTTTTCCCCATCTTTCTCCACTCGACATTGTTGGTCAAAAACAGTGTATAATGCAAACGACTTATCAGAGAGACTAGTTATTGGGCGTCAATATCACAATGTGAAATCTTCTGACCAGGTGCCTGTACATTTCGTGCGTACAGAAGCCTCCCTACTTCGTAGAGTCGACAGTCACTGGTTCCAAAAGTGATGACAATTCCTTGATTGATGTATCGCTTTCGAATGACGGAAGCTACCTCCACTATTTCTTGGAGGGGAATAACGAAATATCTAACACCATCCTCGGATTCATCAACGACGCATTTGTCAACCTTCAAAATTGAAGCCTCACATTTAGGATCCGACCGTGGTAATGTTGACACTTCGATACCCAAAGTACCGCATCTTCAAGTTCTGCTGGCAAATTAATGTTTCAACCGTCGCATGCTCAGGCTGCTCTATGATTGTGACCTCGAGGCTACTCGTCTAACTCCGTTAAAAGTGTGACGAAGATAACGGTCAAGTCACTCCGCTGACCTTCGTGCCTTCCTTGCGCATCTAAGCATCCCACTCGTACACTCATTCATCAGCCTTGGCCTAGGCATTCGTATCGCCCTTGATTTCCTTTTGCACAATCCCCAGAATTACCTCGTCTTTCGACGGTGCTGGCTTCAAGTACTGGTCAAAGTCGCGAGAAGACGTCGAGTACGAATAGTCATGCCACATTTACCTCAGCTACAACACATCAGCTTAGTGACCGACAAAGCTGTTGCTAGGTGGTTCGCAGCTGATGTATGCAATGGGCCGGAATGGCTGCACGTGAAGGAGGTGATCGTACAAGGGGTTGCGCAATGCCCAGGGGATGGCAAGTGCTGTAATCGCGCATTCAAGGATGGTAACGAGATGGAGGAATCCACGTTTGGTGCTGTTCGCGAGAGGCTGCAGGTGCGTTTATATTACCATCGAGGAGGGTTCCGACTTGGGAAACAACTATATGTACCTCTGATTCTGGGGAGCCCAACTGCTCGAATATAGGTCCCATTTACCATGTCTTTTCCTCCGGTTCTATGCTAATGCAGAGGTCACATATGTTCTGAATAATTTTTTCCTTGCAGAACTTCTTGCAGAGACCGATTGTGCCAAATATCTACCAACTTCGACGGGACCGGACATCACGCCCGTCACTGCACTAGGCTATTTGATGCCAAAAGCACCGCAAAGTGGAAATTGCAAGCAAGCGCCACGTCTCAATCTTCTAGCGCGGCTTCGAGATGGATATATCCAAGGACTTCAAGTTAGATAAGAAACAGATGAAATGTTTGCTTGCTACGAATATGATCCGATCTCGAATGCTGCACTACGGAATGTAGGGTTCTGTAGCTTACACAGACAACAATTAGTAAGAAGAAACGGCTGCCTTCAATTGTCTGTGCCGCATGACTTCGTGAGTCATTTTTGATGTATAGTGATTTTTCAGTTCATGTGTGAAGTAATGGGCACTCACGAGGTGACAGGAATGATGGTGGTTTGTCCCAGGGGATGCTAGCAACTCTTCATTCTTCACTTCCACCATTCCCAGGGGTGTACGGCAAGCAAGTAACTAGCGAAGTGACACTTATTGCGATCCGGGCATCTCGTTTACTACGTCTATGGTCGAGGTCTTTCGGTACGTGATGCTAGTCATTCCTACATACGACCTCTTATTTAACCATCATGCCCAGAACGCACATCATGGAGCGTAAGTCAACCCCTAAGGACATATGTGGAACGGCACTTGTCCACTATCTTCTCCATTACTCGTTATATGCAAAGCGATATTTATTCCCGACAGTTATCGGCAAGAAATTCAATGCTACTCATCGGCTAGTACCTGCAACTGGTTTAGTCCCGCCGGCATGACAAGTTAAGTATAAATTTTGAAGGGATGAAATAGACTGACATTCGATGATAGACAAGTGATGACTGTTTTTATGATTGCCGACCTTTGCTACAATCATATGATACCATTTGGTACAGCCTCAGCAAAGCATTCATGCATAAAAAGCAACCATTGAAAGGTCAGTTGATCTTCATGAAAATGGCGTCACTTCTCAAAGTTCCACTTATTCTCTTGTCTGCTATCGCGCAGCAAATATCGTTCACAGCCCCAAACGTCCCCCCGAGTACAGAGATTATTCACCAAACATTTAACGAGTGGGTCCTCAGTCGGCATATTGTATACGGGTATCCGGTTATCAAGGCAAGTGTTTTGATTGCTTGTCCATGATCATTTTTACAGAGCGATACGCCAGACAATTTATTGGGCTTTTTCTCTCGCAGAGATCGCCACCATTGCCTCTCACGCGACGGACTCTCTGTCCGTTATACAGTCCATCACACAGTACGCGGTCGGCCACAGGATTTGTGATACGCCCATTACTTTCCCTTTCGTTTTGGGCACCTCACTTGCCGTCACAGGAGGTCTCGTCCGCTGGTGGTGTTTTCGCACCCTCGGATGTTTTTTCACCTTCCAACTCAGTATCCGCAAAGGGCACTCTATTGTCACGACTGGACCATACGCTGTCATACGCCATCCATCGTACACAGCAGGTATTATACAGATCATTGGCATGGTAATCCTGCACGGATCGCCCACCTCATGGCTTAGACACTCCGGAATTTTAGATGTTCCTGGACTCAAATTAGTTGCGGTGGCATGGCTAGCGCAGATGACAATTCTTATGATAAACACCGTGTGCAGGGTCAGCCAAGAGGATGAAGTACTGAAATCAGCTTTCGGAGACGAGTGGGAGAAGTGGGCGAAGGTAGTTAGGTACCGACTGGTACCTGGGGTCTACTGAACCCATAGCACTTGACACATTGGTGTTTCGCAATGGTGACAACTATTCACTGTTCAATCTTAGATCTAGATGACACGCTCATACGAGGAGATCGTCGCTTCCTTTCCTCCTCCGAAATTGTCAACTTTTGAAGGGGATTCATTTCAAGTTCATTTCATTCTACGATAGTGCTCGGTTTTTTCTTTGGTTTCCGGTGACGTCGGTAGCTAGACTGTAGAGGCTGAGTCTTTTTTCGATTTTAACTTTCTATTTAATTTCGTCTATTGTCATTCCACTACCAGGCTGACCTGATATTTGTTGACAATACATAGCGCGTATTTCGAGTTTCTTTCTTAGTCTTTCCCCTACTAGTATTACCGTCATGTGAGAAATCCAGCATCTTTTGTTCATCCTAGAGTGACACGCGGGAGTGAACGGACGGACTCGTTCGAGAGCTGAAAGAAAGGAATGTATACTCAGTCGCGTACTCGTAGTGTAGCGGACTGAGGTTTTAGTAACTCTAACTCGTCTGTATGTACCGGTATGATTAAAAGTAAGTTGTACTCGCCGCTTTATCTAATCTATAAGGTCCTGTTTGGACAAAATTCGAATCATGTGACTCACCTCGTGAGAGTTGCCAGTTCATCCGGGAAACGCTCAAGGCAACGATAACATACGGTAAGGCGTATTAAATAGGCCCCATTTACCATGTTTTTTCCTCCGGTTCTATGCTAATGCAGAGGTCACATATGTTCTGAATAATTCTTTCATTGCAGAACTTCTTGCAGAGACCGATTGTGCAGATTATCTACCAACTTCGACGGGACCGGACATCACGCCCGTCACTGCAACTAGGCTATTTGATGCCAAAAGTACCGCAAGGTGAAGTCATCATCATGGAAATTTCAAGCAAGCGCCATCTCTCAATCTTCCAGTGCGGCTTCGAGATGGATATATCTAAGGACTTCAAGTTAGATAAGAAACAGATGAAATGTTTGCTTGCTAAGAATACGATCCGACCTCGAATGCTGCGGTACGGAATGTACGAGGGTTCTGTAGCTTACACAGACAACAACTAGTAAGAAGAAACGGCTGCCTTCAATTGTCCGTGCCGTGGCATCACTTTGTGGGTGACCCATGACTTCGTGAGTCATTTTTGATGTATAGTGATTTGCCAGTTCCTGTGCGAAGTAATGGACACTCACGAGGTGACAGGAATGATGGCGGTTTGTCCCAGGGGAGGCTATCCTAAATTAAACTCTTCATTCTTCACTTCCACCATTTCCAGGGGTGTACGACAAGCAAGTAACTTGCGAAGTGACACTTCTTTTGAATTGCGATCCGGGCGTCTCGTTTACTACGTCTATGGTCGAGGTCTTACGGTACGTGATGCTAGTCATTCCTACATATGACCTCTTATTTAACCATCATGCCCAGAACGCATATCATGGAGCGTAAGTCAACTCCTAAGCGACATACGTGGGACGGCACTTGTCCACTATCTTCTCCCTTACTCGTTATATGCAAAGCGATATTTATTCCCGACAGTTATCGGCAAGAAATTCAATGCTACTCACCGGCTAGTACCTGCAACTGGTTTAGTCCGTTTCTTCTCTCCGGCATGACAGGTCAAGTATAAATTTTGAAGGGTTGAAACAGACTGACATTCTATGTGATAGGCGAGTGACGACTGTTGTTATGAATGCCAACCTTTACCACAATCATATGATACCATTTGGTACAGCCTCAGCCTCAGCGAAGCATTCATGCATAAAAAGCAATCATTGAAAGGTCAGCTGCTCTTCATGAAAATGGTGTCACTTCTCAAAGTTCCACTTATTCTCTCGTCTGCTATCACGCAGCAAATATCGTTCACACCCCCAAACGTCCCCCCGAGTAAAGAGATTATCCACCAAACATTTAATGAGTGGGTCCTCACTCGGCTTGTTATATACGGGTTTCCGGTCATGAAGGCAAGTGTTTTGATTGCTTGTCCACGATCATTTTTACAGAGCGATGCGCCAGGCAATTTACTGGGCTATTTCTTTCGCAGAGATCGCTACTATCGTCTCTCACACGACGGACTCTCTGTCCGTTATACAGGCCATCACACAGTATGCGGTCGGTCACAGGATTCGTGATATGCCCATTACTTTCCCTTTCATTTTTGGCACCGCACTTGCCGTCACAGGAGGTCTCGTCCGTTGGTGGTGCTATCGCACCCTCGGACGTTTTTTTCACCTTCCAACTCAGTGTCCGCAAAGGGCACCATATTGTCACGACTGGACCATACACTGTCATACGCCATCCATCATATACAGCAGGTATTATACATCTCATTGGCATTTTAATCCTGCACGGATCGCCCACTTCATGGCTTAGACACTCCGGAATTTTAGATGTTCCTGGACTCAAATTGGTTGTGGTGGCATGGCTGGCGCAGATGTCACTTATTGCGATAAACATCGTGCGCAGGATCAGCCAAGAGGATGAAGCACTAAAATCAGCTTTCGGAGACGAGTGGGAGAGGTGGGCGAAGGTAGTTAGGTACCGACTGGTACCTGGGGTCTACTGAACCCATAGCACTTAACACATTGGTGTTTGCGATGGCGACGACTATTCACTGTTCAATCTTAGATCTAGATTCTAGATGACACGCTCATACAAGGAGATCGTCTCCCCCTTTCCTCCTCCGAATTAGTCAAAAGGGTATTCATTTCAGGTTTATCTCATTTTACGATAGCGCTCGGTTTCTTCTTTTGTTGACGGTGACACCGGTAACCAGACTGTAGAAACGTGCAATGAATTTTGTATTACTGGCTTAGTCTTTTTTCGATTCCGACTTTCTATTTAATCCCGTCTATTGTCATTCGACTAGGCTAACCTGATGTTTGTTGACGATACGTAGTGCGTATTTCGATTTTCTTTCTTAGTCTTTCCCCTACTACTGTCATGTGAGAAATTCAGCATCAACCCTTTAGGAACGACTATCTTCCTTCGTCCATAAAGGGCTATCTAGGGGAGATTAGGATCAACCATTCACCGGAATCATCTGGCCGCTATCAATAATATCGTTTCAGGCGGCATGCGGCCCCATCATTACAGGATAAATGTTCGAATGGCGAGATATCATGTCATCGCCATGTGCAATTACAGACCTGTGCCAGCTGACAAGAATAACTTTGTGCAGACGCTGAAACTTATTTCCCCGTCTACAGCGGAATATATTTCGCCACATGACACTTCCTGAAGACAATTACTGGCTCCAAAAGTGATGATGTGTTCTTCGTACACTCATTCATCGGCCTTGGCCTTGGCACTCGTATCGCCCTTCATTTCCTTTTGCACAATCCCCAGAATTACCTCGTCTTTCGTCGGTGCTTCAAGTACTGGTCAAAGTCGCGAGAAGACGTCGAGTACGAATGGTCATGTCACATTTACCCCAACTACAACACGGAGAAACACATCAGCTTAGTGGCCGACAAAACTGTTGCTAGGTGGTTCACAGCTGATGTATGCAACGGGCCGGAATGGCTGCGCGCGAGGGAGATGATCGCACAAGGGGGTGCGCAGGGGATGGAGAAGGTGACAAGCGCTGTAATCGAAAGCGCGTAGTATGGCGACAGTGGGTATGGTGCAAAGCATATCCTCAGCACGCTACTTGTGCCTGCTCTGTTTAATCGTGGGGATGACTCCGTGTTGCCTGAAGAGAGGGAGGGGGTATCCTGCGCTGATGGAGGGTCGTGCCAATCTATTGAAGTGAGAAGGACGAGTAGGTTGGTATGTTGTGAGCGTCCGGAAGAGTTTGTGGCGATTCTGCATAATTGGTGGAGGTATATTGTGGGTTATCCCTCGCCGTAGACACAGAGCCCCTTGAAATGTACATGCCACGTCATTGACGGGCATGGAGATGTCTTCAGAATGAATCTCAAAACACGATATTATTTTTAATGCAAGCGGCGGTGTGGGAACGAGTGGGAATCCAATAGAAAGTGGATATTTCAGATGGGCCCAGGTGCGGTATCAGATCTGAAGAGGCGCAAGTAATGCAGCAGACAGCCATTGTGTTGGCGAGCATACTACCTGGAAGGAGATATCAGCGTCCTTCAAATAATGTTGGGCGGTGATCCCCAGTGAACCGGTTATCTGCGAGATGTGGTAGACCTTCCAGCTCGGGAATTCGGCCAGCATCGTGAATTGAGGTTGAACTCCCAAAAAGTTCCACGGACGGGTCAACATGTGTAGTTAACCACGAACTAGTTTTATTTGTCGATCGTCAGTCACAAGCAGCAGTGTGCCGTTCAAGTCCTTGAAATACCCTGCTCACCATGTCTGTCAAACCGATCACATCTCATAGCCAGTTCATTTCCATCGTAGGCACTTCATAGCCAGTGGCATAGCACGAAAATCACACTTAAGCCCACAGATGATGGAGGAGGGGAAGACTGTCATCGTAGACTTCGTGTCCGAAAGTTGCCCTCATTGCAAAGCCATCGCCCCCACCTTTGATGAGCTCGCAAGCAAGTTCTCGTCGGACAAGGTCGAATTTTACGTCATTAATGCCGAAAAACTCGACGATATCAGCTTCGAAGTTGGTGGCATAACGAGCGTAAATATCGGATGTCTTTGCACACAACAATCACCTTGCGCTGACTACTGATCTGTATGGCTGCTCAGTATCCTACATTCATCGCATTCAAGGACGGCAACAAGATGGAGGAATCCACGTTTGGTGCTGCTCGCGAGAGGCTGCAGGTGCGTTTATACTATTAGTCTCTTAGCATTACGAATCGAAACCCATTTTGCCCACCCAGAAATTTGTGGAGAAATACTGTTCACCTTGATACCACAATGTTTATAGCGCATCAAGGATACTAGTAGTTCCGGTGACTGATCAGAAAACGACTTTCATTGACAGGCCGGGGATATCTTGGTCGGGCACAAGCTCGTTGCTGTCTTTCCTCCAGTGTCTACAACTTGAATGCAATTCGTAGAGGGATGGTGTCTCTACTAGGGGTGGATCCTACAACAAGTGGCATTTTATATCGTGAAAACCTAAATGATATTTCTTAGCAAAAACACTCTAATCAATCGTCAACGCGTCAACATTTCAACAAGATTAATCCACCAGACTCGGATCTAGAAGCGAAGCGCAGCGCTCGAGACCTTTCCCGCTGGATAAGCAGTCAAATAACAACTCGTAATTGGCAACCTTTGTTTCAAATTTCAAACTTTCTCCTCTAGTTAGGGATTGCCACGGCAGTGTGGAGTCATGGAACCATCTACATATGTATGTACCTCAGCGTGCGTGCAAGCGGGCCATCGAGCGTAATAATCGCAGAACTAACGACACTGTCTCACCCCTTTCCTCAAAACAGTTTTAGCACACAAACTAGGATTATCCGCTGCGTGGAGTCGGGGATCCATCGTGATCTGGCCTGGCCTAGCATGTGTACCATGGAGCTGAATTCAAAAGAATGCAAAACCAACGACATAATCACACCCCCACCGTGACACCCTGTTTCACTAACGCCGACTTTCGCATTATGACGACATGATCGCCATAAGGTTCGACCCTTGACTACAGCCCAGCGATGTATTCATGTATAAAAGCACGCGTTGAAAAGTTCAGGTGCTCTTCATGATCATGGAGTCCCTTCTCAAGGTTCCACTTATCCTCTCGTCTGCTATCGCGCTGCACGTATCGTTCACGACCGGAAACGTCCCTTCGAATAAAGAGGTTATTCGTCAAACGTTCAACGAGTGGATCTTCACTCGGCTCGTTAAATATGGGTTTCCGACCATAAAGGCGAGTTCTTTCGCCTGCCCATAAACGTTTTATAGAACCATGCACCAGGCATTTTATTGGGTTTTTTCTTTCGCAGAAATCGCCATAATTATCTATCATTCAACGGACCCCAACTCTGTTTCCACAATACGTGACACACCTATCGGTTTCCCTTTCGTTTTCGGTACCGCACTCGCTGTCACGGGTGGTCTCATTCGCTGGTGGTGTTATCGCACCCTTGGTCGTTTTTTCACTTTCCAGCTCAGTATCCGCCAAGGGCAACACATTGTAACAACCGGGCCATATGCAGTCATACGCCATCCAGCCTATACAGCCGGTATGACGGAGGTCATTGGCATATTGATCCTGCACGGATCGACCGATTCATGGCTTAGACGCTCAGGGGTTTTGGATATCCCTGGACTGAAAGTGATTGTGGTAGTATGGCTGGCGGAGATCACTATTCTTATGATAAGCGTGGTGTTCAGGGTCAGCCAAGAGGATGAAGTCCTGAAATCAGCTTTCAGAGGCGAGTGGGAGAAGTGGGCGAAGGCAGTCAGGTACCGGCTGATACCTGGTATCTACTAAACCCAAGGCGCATGGACCATATCATCGTTGTGCAACTGGAACCGTCTACAGCTCTCCACAGTTCAATGGCAGGATTTTTATATACATAAAAACACATTCATTGTCTCTACGGATGTCATTTTCTCGACTTGTACTAAATATTGTCCTCGGTTCTTCGTAGGGTGCTTCATATCACGACATGTTCTCCGTACGCGCTTCATTCTACATGTACAACTATTCATTCGTGTATTATTTTCCTTCTTGACAGCGTCCTATTATTCGGAATCACTTCCCCTTAGTTCTTCAATCGAAGACTGGGCTTCCTCTTTGCTGGTCCGACTAAACTTCACTACTGATGCTTTGTGATCAATAGTACGTACGCAGTCTCTGCCTACGTGCTGCCGCACTATTGATTATCTTGGTTCCCCGAGTCACAGTAGTTCAATGTATCAATATTTAAGTGTCGTCCACCCATTCAGCGTGGTTCACCTCCTCTGGAGGACCAGAAGGTGCTCCTAAGTTGCGGATGGCTTCATTGATACCATCATCTGGCCATTTGTCATTTATGTTCGTGCATATTCAATTGGATGGTGGTATCATAGACTCTTGTGAATCAAGCCGACGTATTTACATCGAGGTTATATGTATGTGCGAATGTCATAGCGCCGAGATCTGTGCCACTGTCCGATTCATAATCGATCCGAGAGAAATATTCTCGAGTACTGATAACCAGTCGGGGAACCAGGACACACTGCTGGATGGTGACGAATGATATTACAGCGCTTCTATACCACCGACTCCCGTCGGTATCACCCTGCGGTTCATCATGTTGTGGTCATTGATGAGAGTCTCGGTAGGAAAATGCTTACTTTCGTGGATATAGCAGCAATCTGCATGACGCTCAACATGACATAACTAAAAATAATGGTAAGAATGTTTCATATGTAATTGAAGGGCAAGAAAACGCATTCACTCACCACGAAAAATGCAGTACATGGTCCCTGAGGATGGCAAGACTGTCGCCATGACCATCACCAAATCTACAGCCTAAACGTGCTCTCTGCATCTCACGGGAATGCTCAACGAGGACCCGTGCGGCAAGGAAGAGAAATAGAAGCTCGATGCATAGACTTGGGATGCCGTCAAGAAAGGGCACCATGGGGGCTACGGACGTAGTGCAGACTCCCGTCCCGGAAAGTACGTATTCTTCAGCTAAACATCAACGATTCGTGAGCAAGTGGTTATCACAAAATCAGCTGACTTGCATGTTGGGCCTGAAGCAAGGACGAGGGCTAGGCCATCCGTTAATCCTCGGAAAGCGCTAGCGGCGAGAAAACAAATAATCAGGAATATTCGCATCCGCATGGATCGGCTATACATGGCGAAAACACGAATTGACATGACCGCTTCAGTTGTTTTCGAGACATTAATAATGGCCCACATTCATTTAATCATGGAACGGACCATACATCGTACACACGAGGGCAACCATTCCCCATGACCATGATTGGCCAACGATGCCACCTATCACGAGTTAAAGGGATTGCCGCACACGTGTAGCTCATATTAGACTCACACCTAGAACTGACATTAGTAAATAGACTGCAGCAAGTTAGTAGCTAGTAGAACGTGCTCCTGCGTTGGACCAGTCAGTCACTACTGTATACCTGCAAGTAAGTTAAGAGGCTTCACCGTATCGCTCAACAAGATGCCTGGCGCTCCCCCTACCACAAATCGAAACATGAGTGGTTGGTTTAAGATCAGAATTCCACAACAAGATACGTACATATCTGAACTCTGAAACCCTTCTTCAGTTAACAGATCCACGGCCTTCATTTAAAACTTACATTGCAATTGCAAGACCCAAGTAACGTGCCTATACAATATCGTCAGGCTACATAGTGTGATGCTTTCAGAGGGTGACATACAATGATATATAGAATTGTTGTTAGCTTCCAGCGTTGACGCTACGGAGCGTCAGTATAAATCAGACAATAAGTACATTGGTTTGAAGTCCTCACCCATACCAGTTCCACCTAGAATGAATCAGTAAAATGGTGGAAGTAACAGTTTTCGAAAGATCGCAGAACATACTTCACGAGTGAAGACAAGACCTGGCAGACCACATTTGAGCATGCTTGCACTAATTTGCGATATAAATGGTTAGATACCGTAGTCGTAGAAGATGATCGCTGTAGAAGCCACTGCTAATGTGCGAAAATGAACTCTTAGAACATGAACAAAGAAGATCAGAGACTTACCACTGAATCTAAAGTGAAGGTCATCATATCCGACAACTGGCCAAAAATTTGGTGAGTTGGACGTAAAGCTCATATCCTGCGTGTAGGTCAGAACGAAGAACAATGCTCGAGAAGTCGAGCCTTGATACTTATAATGCCACCCGGGAACGCCGTTCATGTGACCGTGATACTTCCTTAAAGTATGGGCAGAACTCTGCCACATGGCGGGCACTGCCAGGCAGATGCGGCAGAACCTCCCGGGCAGAATGTGGCAGAATTCCGACTCGGAAGAACCGCGACGAGGTACTATATAGTACACAGCATCGGCTCGGTGTATGATCAATAGCGTGATTTGATGTACTACAATGGCTGTTACAGAGTTGCATCATCCCTTCAGTAGTCAGCCAATTAAAATCGTTTATCATTTACTAAGTCTGGAGGCGGCCTCAGTCACATGGGGCCAAGCGCTCTTGTCGGCATATTCGAGACACTTGGCAAGGTTTGCGCTAACCTTCGCTATCATATCGGCGACCTTAAGAATGTTGCTGACAGCAAGCCAACACGACGCCGCCACGTTCACATGCATACCGTGACAATCAAACTTCCATACAGAGGTTGCCAAGCAGCTCGAGACTTACTTTGCATTTTTTTTTTCCACTTGCAGTAGTCTCCAGTGTGGTCCCAAATCAATCTCATTTGATGGCACTCAGTGATGCTGAGTTTGCTCTTCTTGAAGATATTCGTAATGCAGAAAAAATGATGGACACGGAGTTTGCCTCGGACTGAAGGATTCGGAGGTTTTAGAAGGGAGAGCGTTCGACTTCGCAGAAATGCAGCACGTTGATGAGGGATTAGTTCCCGCAGCTTAATAGAGGATGAGATTATATTCATGGATCATAATGCAAACGAAGATGCGGACCTGGAATATTGATTCCATGTGTGGTTTTATGACATCAGTGTTCTAGTGTAAAAACACGTGATTCTGCCTTCTGCACCGCAGGTTCTGCAGTTCTGCCGACAGAACTGCCTCAAAATAGTTCTGCCCACAGCACTAGCGAGTTGCAGCTGGTCCAATAATATCAGATTCCCATGTCAGCAGTGCCACCCATTGATTGATCAATGGACTGAATTTGAAATATTTTGAAAGAAACCTTCAATAGCGATCCATGGGCACCAGTGTAACGCGATTACTAGCGGCCCGTTGTCTTCTCGCTCCACTTATTGAGCATGGGCACCTTCCATGAGCATTAGTTTACCCTCATCAATGGAAGTGTACGCATTTAACCATTTCAGAATAGGTCGTCGTTGACTTGTTTCTGTGACTCAGTGGCTGGGGTTTCGCCTCCGGTTATCATAAATCAGTCGAAGACGCGCATTCCCTCCATTGCGTTACGTTAGCAAATGTCAAGGTGCGTGTGTGGCATTAATTAATGGTTGCAGCAGGAAAAATCGTGGAGGGTATCGATGCGATATCAGGGGGAGACGATGATACGCGTAAGGAGGGTCCGCAGGAGAGATGAGTCTGTATCCAACAATTCTAATCTTCCTCACAGCTATACCTGAAGGAATTAATCAGAAAGAGTAAGCGTGTGAAAAAGATGGCACATACTAAGCTAAGCTCAAGGGTCCATACTCGCCTTGCCCATAGTTTCACAGGAATAGATGGCTCTCCTGGTGCAGCCAGATCAACCTCAAGGCCGTCCCACCAGCACTTGCGCTAGGATGAACATTGCGTGAACGACTGTTGCATGCATGTCTAAAGTAAACTTACCGCTGGTTTTCTCCAGAATAATAACAACTTCTGTGCTGTAGCCATTTGATTGTAGTCGATAGTGACCGGGCGCTCGCCGTTTTGTCCTAGAGGATGGTGTACGATGCCCGTCTTGAGTAATACAAGAGCTATTGAAGAAATGCAGCACCGCGAAGGCTCCATAGCACGGAAACCCCATTCGTCGTCCCGATTGAACCCACTATGGACGCTGTCAGTTGCACCACCGATAGTCGTCAGTGGGCTTACCTCATGCACAACATATCAATAAGATGCTGTTCAGCAATATTGTTCTCTTTGTGAACGTTTCGTTGGAGGGCGGTAAAGATATTACGCTTGTCCATAACATTTTGTCCACACTTGTGCTTGATATCAAGAAGCGCTTGATTGGCGGTGCCGTGCTCGTCAGTCAGAGCCCTTCCTCCTTTTGGCGGTATAGCAAAGTATTCAAGTTCTTCGCGAAGCACAATGATAGCCTGCTTGGTAAGGAGCGGATTTTGTGATACAGAAGGACCAAAGTCTGAAGGTGACCCGTCAAGGAGATGCTGCTGTGCCGCGAACAAACCAGGTGAAGTATTTGTACCATAGAACGTGTCTGATGCGTTTCTGAAGAAATCAAGCACGTATGCAAAGCATTCTGGGTCGAACTGCGGCGCGTCAGCAAACCCGAACCACGTGAATCGTTCAGTAACCACTCACATCGACGCCGTACACTTCGTCATCCTCTTCGTTTTCCCCGCCATCTGAGAATGCTTGGCTCTGACGACTCAGAACAAGCCCGTTTGGAAAGAGACATAGAAGAACGGATTCAGGAAGATTCATGATAGTTTCTCTGTCAACCGAGAAACGTCTGCCTCGGAGGTCGAGGAGCAGCCTAGTAAGTAACTGAGGCTGGAGGCTGGTGTTCACGGGCGCATGCTGGGACACCTGTGTAATTGGTGAGGAGGATATCGATACTGCTGCCATGATGGTTAACAGTGATGGTAAGAAAATGTTGTGAAGGCTGCTCGGGGCTTCTGAACATCAACTTCCCCCAGCGCCTCAAGGCTACCACGACCTCCCTTATTTGTGCAAACCAAACACTTCGACAATAACCCTGGGCTGTATTTAAGACCTGGCTTTTTTGCTACAAGAAGTCCTCTAGTATCTATAAGGAGTGGACGATGCATGTAATAAATCTGGGTGATAGTGCATGCATCAAAGTTGAAATATTACAGTAACAGAGATATTGCGTTTTGCGCTAAGATAAATTCAACGAAAGACGGGAAGGATGAAAAAAATCGTAATGTATCATCATAGAACACGTGCAAGGAGTCCAAAGAGAGTAAACGAAGAGCATCCATAAATTCACTGGCCAGCCAAAAGTTTGGAACCTGGTATCGAGGAATGTCACATGAAATCAAAAATAGAATGAGTCTTTAATATCCGCTTCCAGATCCTCCTGGTTGTGGAGGTGCCGCACCAGGTGGCAGATTAAACGCCGTCGATGAACGAGAGTATCGGTTCTGAGGCGCCTGTGATGTGGGCCGACGGACTGATGGTTTCGCTACCCTACGGACACCCTCCGGTCCAGGAACAGGTCCATTGTCAGACAAGCTGACCCCACGGCCCCCTTTTTGATGTTTGCTGGGCACAGGTGGCGGCGACATATCTTCCGGTTCGGTACTATAGCCACCATGCTGGTCATCATACGTAGCCACATGTGGTTCAGAACGGAATGGGTTCTGGGTCTCTCCAGGGTATTGGCTAGATATGGTCTGATTGCGAAGAACACCCCCTGCCCGGGCAACGTGAGCGTCAAACTGAGGGTACCGCGGAGATTCAGTATTCGAGTCGATGTACTGGTCTTGCGAGGTAGAAACAAGTCGCTGATTAAAGGCGGAGCCGCTGTCTGAATAAACAACGTCCTCGCTAGAGCGCGACACAGCGGCTGACGAGGTTGATGTTATAGAGTTGTGGTTCTTACTGGCGTAAAGTGGTGCAGGGAGCGTAAGAAGGCCGCTACTGTCGTGTCTTGACCGAGTACCAGACGCGTACGGCACACTGGGTGTAGACTCCGTCGTCGATGAATCAACACCACCATTATGGTTAACATCAGAGTTTGATGCCATCGAGTACCGATTATTGCTGTAATGGAAGTCAGCGATAAGAAACGGAGCATACCACCAATCACAAGACTTACAAAGTCGAATCACGAGATTGCACCCCATTCTTCCACCGCCTATCACGCTCGAACTCAGCCCAGCGCTTCATGACGATATGCGAAGAGTCGAATTCTCCTTCCTTATCACCATGGTTGCCACCCTTGTCACCTGCAACTTGCCGCGTCTGGCCCCATGAGAAGTCATCAAAGTGCCAGAACGCATAGGCAGGGAGGAGACCGTTCCATATGGGCAACGAAATCAAATAAATGACCATCCATCCAACATAAGCGACCTTACGTGACGTTACGACAATGAGGAGACCGGGTAAACCAAGGACGATAGCAAGCAGCACGAGAGGAATGGTAGTGTTGGCACCGCCGGGAATGATAGAGATGATGATGAGGTAGAGAGTGAAACTAATAGCGGCGGGCAGGACGAGCGTTCCCATAAGCTCCATACCCACAACAAACTGCATCGAGAAACAGAATGTTCCACAAAGATCACGGACAAGAACGAGCTCAAACAGATTATGGATCGTCGAATTAATCCACCGACGACGCTGGGAGAGCAGAACGCGGAAGGAGTCAGGGACGATGGTCTTGCAGACTGCCTGGGGACAGAACATGTTCTTGCGCCGCGGGAACGTCATGAGTAGGAGGGTTGTGAGGAATCGATCTTCTCCGAGGAGCAACAGGTTCTTCTTGTGCAAAGTGTCGACAACGTTCTCCGAGTACCGTTCCACGATATCGGGGTTTGCCAGGACAGGAACCCAGTACCCAGTGTCGCCCTTGGGAGCCTTGATCCGGTACATGCTGAAACAACCGGGCAAACAAGTGACACCACCGAACATGGCTTCGAACGCCTTAGTCATGTGGTGTGAGATGTAGTACTCGAAGACTGCGAGACAAAAAATAGGATTAGGGTTAGGTTCTAACAATCACCAACAGACAAAACATACCCTGCATCATCGTCACGAAATTATCCGCCTTGTTCGCAATCTTTGTCTCTCCACACAGACCCATAATCTCAACGTCCACAACCATGCACGACACCATGCGTGTCAGCGAATCCGGGAACACCTTAGTATCCGCATCAACGCAAAGCACAAGTTCATATCGATCTGGGCTGACACCCGTCACGCGCCAGATAGAGTTGAAGAACTCATACTCAAACGTCGTCATCCGTTCGTCAAACATGACCTTCTGCAAGAACCCCATGAGCATGATTTGCGAGTCACGCTTGCCTCTGTTTCCGGGTTTCGCATCGTTTGTCTCCAGCGGGTTGCCGACCTTGGCAACGACAACCATCGGGACGCGCTGCTGCTTCGGCACCTCAACCGAGTCATTATTGTAGTCGTAGAAACCGGCGTAGACCTTTGCCATGTTATGACGCTTGTGCCCATCTGCAATGGCAACATAAGAGTGTGGCTCGACCTCATGCGGTGGGATGACAAAGTCTTTCATCATCGAAAGACAGATCTCCGGCGTCGTCATTTCATTACCAGCACCTTTGACCATACCATCCGCAATAACTAGAATGAGCTTGTGGCTGTTAGGGTAATCTGTCGTAGCGAGGGAATCGAGCGTTGTACGAAGACCATCGACAGACTCTGAGTATGCCGTGACTAGGCAAATAGTGTGCGCTAGGGGGAAGTTGAACGGTTCGAAATCGGGGGGAGGCTGTGGCACGACATTCTGCAGAGGGAACGGACAGGGTGTATCAAGGAACGCGGAGCGAGGGGAGATATTGCGGGATGTTATGTCAGCAAATGACGTGGTGCTTCTTGATTGACGGTATGGTGTATCAGGGGGACTGATTTTAGAAGAAGCTTTGGTGGAGTATGTGGTGTGCCGCTTGTAGGGATCTATCATTCCGTAATTCGTGGTAGGCCGAGGAGAGGCGCCCTTAGGCATATTTTCCTGTGGTGTGAAGCGAGAGGTAGACGGAAAGAATCCTTTTTTCCCGACCTTCGCATTCCGTAACCCGTTCTTGCTCACGTTGGGACGATACTGGCTCGGTGCAGGCCGGTAGATATCATTTGACCAATCCTCAATCTCGGCTGAGCGCTGCATGCGTTGCTCATATGTCTCCCGCGGGAAATTACCAAGCTTCCATGAGAAAAACCATGAAAACATGACGGCCATGACAAAGCGAATAGAGACGACACCGATGATGAAAGTGAGGGACAGATAGAGGACGACCGAAGAGGCAACGCAACCGATTGAATTGGTATCGATAAACCCGACCGAGATTACGTCCTGGAGGCACATGCCGACCTGGCGCTGGTTTGTTCGCATGAACATCATAGAAAGGTCTTTTCCATTGTACGTTCCATCTGCATTCTTCATATCATCGAAAAGAGCAGGGTACTGCACCTCAGTGGTGCTGAGCCACTGTAGGAGATCTAGGTCGAGAATGTTTCTAGAAAAAGGGTGAAAAATAAGCAAATATTAACTACGTGGAAACTCACGACTCGAACACGGCCAAATTACGATCGGAAGCTGCGACATCATCCCATGTGTAGTAGACCTGTCCCTGAGGCTTCATCGCAGCTAGCCCCTGCCTTGCTGTGGTCGATACATGACAATTTGTCGAGTCTCCATATCCGGACACATTCTGTGCGTTTGATTGTGGATCGTACACATTACAGGGGAAGTACCAGTCCAACAATTGACCACTGCCCGTGATACTGGAACCGTTTGCCCTCGTAATGATGCCCAAGCAATTATCATTGGTGATCTGGAACAGGAAGCTTGCGTCATTACTGGCCAGGTCCCACCCGCCATACAGGAGCGGGTTTGTTGATCCGTTGAACGGCCCCACGGCTGGATGCTTGAAGTTGGAAAAGTCATAGTCATAGCCGTGGATGATCACCGAATTATTCTGAATCTGGCCCTGGTGGAATCGATTTGGAGGAATGCCGCAAACGGTTTCTGTGAAGCCGAATGTGATGAAACCGACACCAGACATCTCTATCAAGATGATGCTTATGAGACCAATTTTCTCGCGCCATGCACGTTGCGCATCTGGCGTGCGGATACCTGACATAAAATAAGCAATTTTGCAACGAAACTATACAAAAATGCGTACCGCATGCCCGGAAAATGAAGTGAGGAATCCAACAAGTAATGATATAACAGTAAATAAACCAGCCATCCTTTGGCCCTGGCCCGATGCTGTCAAGACATTTGCGCGACTGGCGGTCAGGTGCTGTTAGTGGCGCGGCAGACTGAGTGGACGCTGGGCGCTTGCGGCGAAGGGTTGCACCCCGTTTAAAGAGGGCAAGTCCCGACTCTTGCACGTCCTCTTCACGCGCAAGAAAAGATTTTCCTCTGCGGAGCACTGCTTTCTGTGGATGATTACCAGTAGCTAAAATGACGAGTTAGACAACATGCTACCGGGGCGGAAATACGCACTTGACGGCTGAACGCCCACTCTGCCAAGTCCCCTCGTTCTGCATCTGTGCTGCATGAGTGCGGTAGTGCCATTGCCTGTGGCCAGGTTCGATCTTCTCCCTGTCTGGCTTTACTAAACTCTTCCTCCGCCCCACTCGTGCAGGATCGAAATGATCTGCTCCTTCAGACTTAAAAGTAGGTGAAAGTTGATTTTCGTATGCAGAGGGCAGTATACGCTGGCGTTGTTGATCCAGGGCACCCTGCCTATCACCACGCTCAGTGTCTCGGAAAGATATATTTGGCGTCCTGCCGTCTTGAGACTGGTTGAAAAATGGCCGCTGCTGCGAGTAGGCGCTCGCAGGTGACGGCGAAGATGAATGAGTATGCCCAGAATACTGCCGTTCTGGGTAGACGGGAGTCTGCGGAGGCGACGGACGATACTGCTGGTGGTGGGCAGACCGTGGAGGTCTTTGATCACGATAATCCATTGTTTTGGGTCAAGGAATGTTTAAGATCACCCTGACGTGGTCGCTGTCGTGGACGTCAGCGCTGCTTTGGAGGTCGATTGTGATGGTGAGGAGAAAAGAGCGGCGGATTCGATTGAAGTGAATGGGAAATAGAGTAATGCCCCGTGTGGTGGCGCAAGGCAACAGGCCTCTCAAAACGTCTTTTATGCCACGAGCAGGTTAACGACTATTTTCGGCCGAGTCCGGACACATGTTGATTTCTGAATCTTTATGCAAAAATCAGTGCGTTTCTACTGCTGAGCGCTCAAATCGTCATGTCTACACTCGTCAGAAAACAAAGTATTCTGAATGGTAACAGTACAAGAAACAGCATACCGCTCAAGCTGAGGGCGTACTATTAGTAATTGTTGGACTCTACAGGCGAAGAATTTTGGCCCCATAATTGTCCATAGTGCATCGTTTAGCCAATACATGCATATGCTATACTCTAAGTAACATGAGGAGTCTAGGCACTACCAATGATTGAGCCAGTGTACGGAAACAAAACAGCACTTATTTCTATGCACACTTTCTCACACATTCTCACCCACAGCATTGTGGACGCCGTCAGCGCCAATTTGTCTAGGAACAGCCGTATGCGTTGGGGGCGTAAGTGACCAGAAGACAAAGTAAAGCTTGAGCGACTGATTGGATGATGAGTGAATTCATATCCAAATCTCCCAGGTGAATAGACTGTAGTGAGCTACTTGAGTGGCGCTCTGCCCCGTTGCTATTGTGGATGGTGATGCGATCCCCGCTCTTTTCGCAAACGGTTAGCACATATGTAGCCATCGGCACTCCTATCCTAAGAATATTCCTGGAGCCGAATGGCAGCTGTTGCGTGGATGATACCACAGCTATAGTGAGCACAGGCACGATGAATAAATATACACTTTTCATTGGTCCCGCCCGTAGAGGTACTAAAAAGGTCAACGAAGGCATACGAACGATCAAGTCCCGTCATCAAATACCCAGAAGCGACGGCTTAACAATTGGACCACGAGGACATGTTATTACACGGCGTACTCTATAACCCGTGCGAGGAGGTATAATTTGGCAGAGATGCTGATGGTGCTCGCGATTTTGTCCGGAAGACGCCTGACCCTTTACAAAAGATCACATGGGCTTGCTAGGGAGCTGGGTTAACAGGACACCATAGCGCTTTTTAAGGGTAACACGGTGCCTCGAGAACTTATCATCGGGCGAGAAACGTGCTGTATAGACAAGGGATATCAGTATACCAAGCTATGCACCCTCTTGAGCCAGAAAAAATGGCATCACGAGAGACGAACCTGGGTGTGCAGACTTGGTAATTCGGCCTGTATTCGTTGTTTTCTGTTATAAAACAGCAAGTCAGACTAAAGCTTCTCCATGACAGTAAAAATGCTCACGTTCAGAGTGTATATCCTGTTCCCACTCTCGTCTAGCGTATACATAAGATGCATGGCTGCGAATGACTTGTGAACGCTGGCAAAAACGAGGAGCACAAAACTACAAAATGATCTCTCCAGTGTTCCCACGCTGCCAGAAATATCAGCACCCTATCTATTACTAAATCCACCATATGCATGTGCTATGCTTGGCATGGCGGTACTGTCACGGTGTTTGTTTAACTTCTGTTCATTTCACACCATGGTTAACGCTGTCTTTACTACTCCAGAGCCAGGTACTGTCTTGCAGCCCATATACGAGTATTCCGACGAGCAACAAGCTCATATAAAGACATTACGGGAGGTGTGGTATTTTTCTTTCTGTCAACCCGTTACCTGAGTCGTCGTAAAAAGTATGCAGATACCCTGCTTCTGGACCCATTAGATCCGTACTATAAATGGGAGCTGCGATGGTTGAACAAGCCAGATACCATGCCTCGGTACATGCGCGCGGCAAAATGGAAACTCCCTGATGCGAAACGTAGAATAGAGGGAACAATCAAATGGAGGAGAGAATTCCGACCGGAGTTAATCAGACCCGATGAGGTATGTGCACATTGAACTCGAAGATAATATTGATACATACGCAGTTGCAAAAACGCAGGTGAAGATAGAAGCCGAGACAGGGAAAATGTATGTAACTTCTTCCCCACTTCATATTAAATCAGAGTTGACCAACGGAACACAGCCTCTTAAATGGGTTCGATAAAGATGGCAGGCCCATCATCTACATGCGCCCTGGTCGTGAGAATACCGAAACCAGTCCTAGGCAGTTAAGACACCTCGTTTGGTGGCTGTACGTCCTTGGTCCTCTCATTCAACGTTATCTTACAGGAGTGCAGAGAACGTGCAAAGACTTCATGCCCCCAGGACAAGAGTCATTGGTTATCATCGTAGATTATAAATCCACGACGCTTCGCACCAACCCGTCGATTTCCGTTGCCAGTAAAGTACTTACGATCCTTCAGCAGCACTATGTAGAGACTCTCGGTCGCGCAATCGTCACCAACCTCCCAATGTTGCTCAACTTCTTTTACAAAGGCATTTCACCGTTCTTGGATCCTGTCACCCGGGACAAGGTGCGCGTTATCCTGTATCTGCGTAGGAAACGTGACTCGACGGATTGTAGATGAGGTTTAATCCTGATCTTCTTGACCTCATTCCAAAGTCTCAGCTGGACTCCGACTTTGGAGGCGATTTTGATTTCGAGTTCGATCACGAGACGTACTGGAAACAGATCGTCGAGTAAGTTTTTTTCGGGGGCCTTACCCATTGATCAATGACACAAGTCCTAACATCACATCAGTTTCTGTGGCATCGCTGAAGACGGCACCCGCTTAGAAGGCTATTTCGACGGACCAAAGAATATTCATGGAGAACTGCCTTCACAGCATTCCGAGTGAGTCTCTCTACCAATTAAATGATTTGTTTTCTGAACGTCAACAGCGAGGATACTGAACCCGGTACTGCATCTCGCACCTCCACCTCGTCCACCACTGCATCTGTTACGTCTGCTGGCGAGACAAAGGCGCTTGCTTCTCCCGAAGCGACACCCGCTGCCCCCGAGTTAAATGAGGTGTCGTAGATCACCCAGGTGTTATATATATATATAATTGTACGCTATATACACATCAATGTAGTCTAACAGAGAAGCGTTTGTATAACAGGGTCTTCAAATCCTTACCACAGATATTTCAAACAGCCTCACCAAGTCACTGGGCAACCTTTTAAGTCCCACAGCTCAGTACTCAACGTTGCAATACTCGGCTGCTGGCCGTCTTCGTCAGTGCAAGGAGATTTGACGTTCAAGGCAGTAACGCAGGTCTGGAAACCTTCGACAGAATTCGCAATGCACGATGGGTTCTTAATGATTAGAGACATCACCCAATTGAACTGGCACCCGGAGTTTTCATTCTTATCGGTACGGAGAGTCGATCCATCTTGCTGTAACCATGCAATTCTCCGGATTTCGCATTTCGCAGTGTCGTAAGTTCTATGTGGTCTGTAAACGACAACCTGGTTAATGCCAAGGAGATCTGACTGCGCACGCGTTACGGTAGAGGTACACAAGGCTATGAAGTCGCTGCGGAAAAAGATTCCACTGGAACAGTATATTGTATTTGTCCATATAGGTTTATATTTTCGGCCATGTTATTGTTGCATTTTTTTAATCATCCCTATTTCTTCATTCCTATGCCACCGCTCAGTTACAACGTATTTCTGCCCGGCGACGTTGTTATTGCATTTAAATGAACGAACTTGAAGAGTTACCTAAATTAGAAAGATGACATAATCATCCGTGCTAATGCCACGAGTCGCGGACGCCTTCTGCCACAGTCTGCCATCGCCCAAATTCCCCCGCCGCCGCACGGACGTCAGCCACAAGTTTAGCCACAACGCATATTGACAAGGCAATCCAACCCCAATAAATTCTGAACAAAAAAAATCAGGATTATCTTGAGTCTGAACAGTTGATCTAGTGCAGCGTACCATCAAAGATGGTTCGACAAGCAAAACAGACAGTGCGTAGTACTCGCGGATTGAATTGTGCTTATCAGCCACCTGAATTTATTGTGGCTGAACTATAGCCGGAACAGAAAAAAGAATCTCAGAAGAGAAAGACGACTCAGAAGAAAAAGGTGACAGAGACTGGAGTATGGCCATGCAAAATCGATGGTTGCAACAAGCAGTTTGCTCGGGAGGCCGATCTGAAACGGCACCAGCGAACTACCAAATTACACTCCGTGCCAGGATTGTGAGTGCTTAATCAAGCATGCATAATACGAGACCGGTTCTGACGTGACTCTGCCCCTGTAGTGCATGTCCGCAATGTGATGCTACGTTTACACGAGTACGTTATTCTCTGATCATTTTCATTTATATGATGCAATTAATACGTGAATCTTGCAGACTGATGCACTACGGAGGCATCAGAAGTCGAGGCATGGTCATATGTTGAGTGTCAACTAATTTATCTGATTGGGGTTACATACAGACACAACGGTGTAATCATCGAACCCACGGAGGTCGAGAAGAAGAAAGGTAGCACCGAGCCTAGGGCATCTGGGTCGCAATCTCACAGCCGAAGTCCATCTCCGTCATCGAAAGGCGCAGAGAATCCAACCGATGCTCCACCCCCTCTCGGTGTCCTTGGCGGTTCGCAAGTCCCACACAGTTATTATCGTCAACATACTATGCCTGCAGGTGGTAGGTACATTTGTTCTCAACCTACTTCACCCTCTCAATTGTGACAGCATACATGCCACCTCCCCTTGGAGTAATCGTTGAAGGTCAATATCCCCCCAACATTGGACTCCCGACATCATCGGCTCGATTACATCAGGCAACATGGCCGCAAGGCGCCTGGATTCCTGACGGGTCGCAACCGCCGCCCATGCCGCCCATGGGCTATCCGCATCCTGCCTACTATTCATACTATCGCGGAATGCCTCACCCGTCACCAGGCCCACCACCCTCTGAACTCATGTCACATCTGCAAAACGGTGTCCAGCCGCATTCTCCCTCATCCTGTGACGACTCATCGAGTACTAGTAGTCCTACCAGGACGAGTATGCACAATGGCGGCGACCCCTCTGCGTCGGGAGCAGGAAACTTCCATGAGAATGAAGCAAGATCTCCTGTCATCGACCCTTCACTAGACATCTCACCAGTGTCACCAACTACAAATCACAAGGTATCTTTCAAGGTCAATCAAACCGCCGTAGAAGTCGCCTTGTCGTCGACAGAAAGAGAGCCATCGCATGCACCGGATAACATACATTCACCCAGCCATGTGGACCCTCGATCGGTATCACACCCTTCTAGCTCAGCTTCTACTGGAGGTAGTATCGATGAACGAAACGAATTGTCAACAGAACTCACGTCCAGCCACGATATAGAATCACCTGAACTATTTTATGCTGCCCAATCACCACCCCATACTCACACTTTCGAGCGTCCACCTGAGATGGAACACATGCTCACAGAAGATGGAGAGCCTATGCTGAATCCAGGTTCGTTTTATTCTTTTGCGATTCGAAAGTTGATGCTTATGTGTATCCGCAAAGCCGAGCTGTTGACTCAGGTGGGTAATGTGATGACTGCTGTAGAACCTAATGTGTATGATCTGATGCTGGACCTACTGAACCAGGAATCTCTCGCATCCCCACCCCCATCGCTATAACAGTCATACTCTAGATTATTGATGATATTCCTCGCTATTCTTCACATGCATTACCTTACTGTACTCACGCATACATAGCCTGTCTTCCGTGCATAACATTGGAGCTTTTTGTAAAACTTTAGTCTTAATTATCATCGAAATCATAGATTCGAAATATCAGTTGCTACATGCTTGTGGAAAGCGAATGATGAAGAACATCGGTGTGTGTAGGGATACAACAATTTCGCTGTTGAAAGCGTGATATATGTAAGGATTCAGGAAGTGTATAAGATAGTTCAACGTGTCTAAAGAACGGAGACCTTGGGCCACCGGAATTGGGGACCAACCTAATGGATTCATAATCAGCGAGTGTCCTGATATCAAAAAAGCATTGACTTACAAGCTGGACACACATGGCGCCCATCTTGTGTCCAACCTCGACACACTCATCAAAGCTCTTACCAGCGACGTAAGCGCCGAGGAAACCACCCGCGAACGCATCACCAGCGCCGTTGGTGTCGACGATCAGCTTGTCGTCGATGGCGCTGACTTTGAAGACCTTAGGACTGTCAGGCTCGGCGGATGATACCAAGATAGTGGACTCAGCGCCGTGCGTGAAGACCACGACACGTGGGCGAGATGTGTTCGATTTAGGGGAAGTCGCAACAGCCTTGGCAATCGCAGCAAGGTCCTTGGTGTCTGGCAGACCGTTTGCAGCTGCGTATGCCTCAGCTTCGGTCTCGTTGCCGATGATGATGTCGCAGTAGGGGAGGATGGACTGCAGTTGGGTGCCGAAGAACTGCGGGATGAAAGGTGCCGAGAAGTTCATGACGAATGTCTTGGAAGCGGCGGATGCCTTTTTGCTGAGCTCGAGCACAATGGACGCGCCGTGCGTCAGGAAAAAGCCTTCTACGTAGAAGACATTTGCTGCGTCCACCAAGGGAGCAACAACGGGGGAAGAGAGATGTGATTGTTCGAACATCTCAGCTGCTCGGAGGGTCGTGACCAGGGAGCTAATATTACCGAATGAGTTCAATGCTACAAATTCCACGATGATAGCCTTACCGGTGGTGCCCGGTGAGGACGACAGCACATGCTCCCGTCTTTTCGCCTGGCTTGACGAGGTAGACCTCCTGCAGGCCCTCACGCTTGTTTGCGGCCCGCAGTTGCTCTGCCAGGCCATCATCTCCCACGCAGCCGGTGTAAACCACTGAATTGGGGGGAAGGACATACTGTGGGAGTGTCACTATCTGAAACCTGAGGCCTGATTACAGAACATAAAGACTTCACCGCAGCTCCCCGGGCAGCGTTTTGAGAAGCACCGCCAGCAACGTATGTGACCTTGTAGTTCTTCACGATCTCCTCGTAGCTGTGGGCAGTCGACGATGAATGTTTGATGTAGAGAACCGTTATCGGACACTCACATTGACATGTGCTTCTCCTCCGCAAGGATGGCATCGTTGGCCTTCAGATCGTACTTCTTGAGCAGCTCCTCGCCGTTGGTAACCTGCACGTCGAGGAGGGGGTTACCTATGCAAAAGAGTTGGTACGTCTGAGAGGCCATGGTGGTATGAGATTAACAGACGATGTGAACTTTAGTGAGAACAAGACGCCAAAAGATCGATATCTAGCCGACACTCATGTGATGATACAGATAAATTTCCATGCCAACGTCAACTGCTGTACCGAGCATAAAATTTCATTGATAAATTGCCAATGGTTCTGGGCATACAAATCGTAGCCTATCTATAGCTATAGGATCTAGCATGAAGTTGATCAAGTGGTTGCCAATAATACTTTCTGTGCGATCATCTCCAAGTTGCAGATATGAAACCTTTAAAAACAATATCATGCAACCGAAAACCGAGTATGACACTTGTATTACTCAAACCGAATTAACAGTGCGCGGGAACAACATCAGAGGAGCGGGAGCGTCTGTACAAAGTGATATATTGGAACACATATGGGAATCGGAGGAATGGGTGACACTGGACATAAGCTAGCTATATATATGTCAGTAATCAATCACGACAAGGCATGGCGCAGATGGAACAATTCAGGTAACACAACAGGTGTAGCGCATTGTCTGTAGAATGAAGAACAATTTGGAAGAAGCTAAAGATGATGTTTTCCGCGCGGGGCGACCTAAGCACTAAGTAAGGACAATCTGCACGCTCATACAATCAGTGGCCCGCGCATTCCATCACCTCGACGTGCCGCGAAAATGCCACGTATGAGCACAACAAGGATTGCGAAAGTTACAAGAATCCTAGCAAGAATATGAACAAAGAAGCAATAAACATATATCAATAACACATACCAAATAACCCAAGCAAAACCTTCTAGCGCGTTAAGTTGTCCGCAGTACACGAACACGAACTCGGTACTAAGGAGATAGGACGTGAGAAATGAGAGAATTTAGCAAGAAGATGTACCAACTTGCAGTTCAGCCCTCCACCGAGAGCTGAGGTTATACTTGCAGCGCCCGCGGTCCAGAAGACCCATGTCAGAAACAGGCTATGAGTTTGTCAGCAAGTTCTACTGTCCAAAGCAAAGGCGGCTGACTTACAAGAGGATATGAGAAGCCACACTACTCAAAACATGGCCTGAAAGAGAAAAGAAGAAAAACATGTAGGCACCAGATAACACGATCGTCCATATTGAAGTGAACAGTAGAAAACGTGTGCTGTCTCGTTCTGTGAGACTGAAGTAGTTGTTGTGGGCATTAAAACGTGATGTGAGCCAGGCTGAGATTGCGAGCTACCACAGGGGTTTATTATTTTACCATTGTCATAAAATGTGCACATACCTCGATGATACTGAACAAGATGATCAACGAAAATACAACTGAAATCCAGCAAGTCAGTCGAACTGAATAAAACAGACAACGGAGACTTACTAGGGTGTCCCCTTCGCATATGGGCATCAAAAGCCATTGTGCAAGACTTGTTTGGTTAATGTTCGTGATAGTTCGTGAAAGGATGAAAGCAAGCAGAAAGAAACCGCAGTTTTGATGGAGACCAGTGGAGACAGTTGGATAGAAGCATATAGCGGCTGTGCCGCTGCGTTACCAAATTCGGTTCTGACGTCATCTAAACTGTTATTGCATACGAAAGGCGATATCCAAATGTCCGGCATATGCATGAGCAATAAAATACAAATGAGACTAGCTATATGCTGCGTGGAGTATATTTTGAAATAAAAAGTCACTAGAAACGGACACTAATGGACATCCCTTCGTCTGGCACGCAAACGCGGTCACCAGGCATGAGCTTGTCGCAGTTCACTTTGGGGTTGACAATGAGGAGTTTGTCTACGGAGGAATTGTGGTCGTTGGCAATATCCCAACAAGTGTCTCCAGGTTGCACGATATAGGAGAGGGTCGTTGAAGGGCATGGAACAGGGGCAATGCGTGTGGGTAACAGGACGAGACGCCAGACCAATAATAAGACGACAGCGATAATGAGAAAGAATGGGAAAAGTGTACGATATGCTCCTCCCCGGGGATTGTACCGGGTACCATTCTACAGCCAAATTGAGATAGGGCGCGGGCAGTGACAGTGACGGTGAGAACTTACCTCATCCAGGGCTAACATGCGATAACCGTTAGTGCCGGTAGGAGCAGCTTCCAGGTCACTGTCTTCGTCTACCTCTTGAGGGATGGAAGAAGGTATTTCAGACACTGCGTGTAGGTGTGAGATATGAGTGCTAACAAAACAGCGTCCAAAGCTTAATACCTAGCGTAAGCTCTCCGAATTCAGAGCCCTCCGGTCCTTTGTACACCGATCCTTCACGGTCGCGGAAATAATACCGCTCACTGTCGGCGTCGTAACCAATTCGCTTCATGCCTTCTGGAAGCCTGTAATCATCCTAAAAACGCTGGGTTAGCTTGTCGAGGACAAAGTCAAAAGTAGAGTAGTACTTCGTCATACTGCGTCCAGCGCCCCATAGTGTTCGTGGCACACAAAAGGCCAACTCAGTGGATAAGTTCTGTTTTCACAAAACAAAGAACTCCTTCACAATTAGGATTGAAATGGAGACTGAAGCTGAAGATGAGTTGGCGCTTTCACAAGCAATACAATGCCGCGGAGAAAGCCGAATAACCGTCACTGCCACTTTACGACGTGGCTAGTAGTGCCGCTAGGGGTTGTGGAGTCCAACTCAGCCGCACTAGATGCAAAAGTTGGCGAAGACTATATTTCCAATGTACTCAGAACTCATATTCAAAGTCGCCTTACGCGGGGAGACATTGCTCACTTCACCTCGTTGGAACAAGGGGACGGCCTTCACGAAACAGGAGCGTAATGATTTTGGTCTAACGGGCAGACTTCCTTATCGCGTCAACACCATCGAAGAACAGTGCGATAGAGCCTATGATCAGCTGAGCTCTCGTGGATCCCCCATACAAAAGAACTCATTCTTGCAGAGCCTCAAAGAGCAAAACTGGGTTCTTTACTATTCCTTGCTATCCAGGCATCTCAAGGAGTTGACTTCTATCATATACACGCCTACCGAAGTGAGTTCTAGTCCTGTCTCGGATACTCAAGTGATTGACTGTATTGCAGGCAGAAGCGATTGAAAACTACTCTCATCTTTTTCGTCGCAGCGAGGGGTTATTTCTCACATTCCCGAACCAAGACTCCATGGAGGAAGATTTCCTGGAGCAAACCCGTGGCAAAGATATCGAGTTGATAGTCTGTACAGATGCAGAAGCCATCCTAGGCATCGGTGACCAAGGTGTTGGAGTAGGTGCATTTCCGTTACTCTACCTTGCAGCTCTTACCACCGCCTGACGTCATAGGGAATCGGGGTGGGAATCCATTTATATCTCACGAGAGGGCGTTGTTGAACAGATGTTCCAGATATCATCTGCCAAATCTGCGATATACACGTGCGTTCGCCTTGCCCTTGACTTATTCTCACTTCATGTGGTGACAGGTTATTGGGTGGGATTAACCCGGCGAAAGCGCTCAGTGTGACCCTTGATGTCGGCACTGACAATGAAAGGCTCTTGAGCGATCAGCTCTATGTTGTGCGTGACTTTTAAATCACCGTTATCATTCACTCATCAGACAAATTCAGGGATGGCCTTCAAGAAGGGTCCGGGGTGATGAGTACGATAAATTCATCGACAAGTAAGTTTGACGTGCCCCCTGGTCCCGCCTCATAGACTTGCAATACCCTCATAGGTTTGTCCAGCTGATCCGCAAACATCATCCACACTGCCTGCTGCACTTCGAAGACTTTGGAGTTACCAACGCTCAGCGACTTCTTGAGCTGTACCGGAATGAACATTCTGTTTTCAATGATGATATGTATGGCTACCCGTCATCCATGCTTCAATTGATACTAACGTATTGTAGCCAAGGAACTGGTGCGGTTACACTGGCCGCCTTGATGGCCGCCATCGGGGTGACCAAATCGAAGCTGGCGGATCAACGCTATGTCATCTTCGGAGCGGGTTCTGCGGGCCTTGGTATTGCAAAACAAGTTCGGGATGCAATCATACTCACAGACGGCGTGTCTCGTGAGGAAGCCAACAAGAAGCTCTACCTCGTTGATCGCTTTGGTCTCATCAAGCAGTCCCTTGGCCCTAACAAGATACGCCCTGCACTACAAGAATTTGTGCGGCCTGATGAAGAATGGAGCGATGTTCCGACTAATGACACAGGAGAGGTTGAGCTTCTGGAGGTTGTCAGGAAAGTACGGCCGACAGTTTTGATAGGATGTTCGACGAAAGGTGGCGCTTTCACCGAGCGCGTCGTGAGGACAATGAAGGACGGTTGCGAGAGACCTATCATTTTCCCTCTCAGCAACCCTAGCAACCTGGTGGAAGTTGATCCGAAGGACGCGAATGACTGGACAGAAGGGATGGCCCTGCTAGCCACGGGAAGCCCGTTCCCACCAGCTAAGATGCCGAACGGCAAAGACTATGTGTAAGCTTGTCATTTCATGAGTATCATGCACATTGCACAAGCTGATTTGCAACTTGCAGCATCGCTGAATGCAACAGTAAGCTCGTTCAATACCCTGTTTGTGCATACTGACCACTGCTGCTTTCAGATGCTCTTATCTATCCTGGACTTGGATTTGGTTCCATGCTGTCGCAATCCAGGCAAATGACTGACGGGATGATCATCGCAGGCGCACAACGTCTTGCTGCTCTCTCTCCTGCACTCAAAGACCCAGACAGCGGCTTGTTACCTGACTTCCAAGATGCTCCGGCAGCCAATCTTGAGGTTGCAATAGCAGTAGCAGAACAGGCATTTGACGAGGGTATCCAAGGAGTTAGCTGGAGCAGAGAGGAGGTGAGAACCAAGGCAGAAGGCAAGCAGTGGAAGCCGGTGTATGGCAGGTATGAGTATGATGAGCAGGGTGCGAAGTAGTCATGGTCTATTTCCAGAAACAAAATGTCTAATTGAATTTCCGCTGCAAAGACGTCCAGTGCCTTCGATGTGGGATATCTGCGTGGCCCATCGCGATGTTGTTATGCATTTCTTCATCGATATAAAGCCAGCTGCTGATTCTGCTCGAGGTTGGTACATAAGTGAACCGCACCATAGCAAAAGTGATACTTATAAGCGCACATGAATATTGCATCACCACAGTACCTTGTCATACAACGACCACTTGAGCAGAGAAGCTAGTACTTAACTAGCGCAATTCAGACACTCGACTATCACGTCAACGAACGGGACGGACGGTCATTTCCAATTTTCTGGTATATACACTACATCTATCATAAATTGTGTCTTCTCCATGTTATACATATGCTAGATCAGTGGAATGTCGAAGTCCTTGGCAACAGGCTGCACGTAACCACGGCTGGATACTTGCGAAGTCGTCAGATTAACGCATTAATTAACAAGCTGAGAGTATGCACGAAATTGATCATATGCCAATATGCATGAATACTATGCGCTGGTCTAAGGGCATGTCCTTATCGCAAGCCAACGACTGGACCGCTCAGTGCAGCGCTCGCGCAGCTCGTTTGGAATTCATTGTGCCATCCCCGCACAAGTTTTTGTAGAATGCCGCGACTAAGCACTGCACAGTACTATCGTTGACATTCCATAATGTCCCAACGACGCTGTTAACCCCAGCAAATTGCAGGCCAGCCGCTAGGTGTATCACTTCGTCGGGCGTACTGAAGTCACCAACTGCGGTTTCACAGGCAGAAAGGAATGCAAATTGATGCCGAGAGAGATCCATTTGGGTGATATCAAGGAGTGAAAGGGGGTGGTCGCGCATAAGAAAGGCCGACTTGAAGGGTTCGTCATATTTTTGTGTCCCGTGACACGCAAAATGGAGCCAAGTATTATCTTGCAATGCACGCAGCGCCCTCCGTTTCGTTGCATCAATGCTCATTATCTTGGTGAAGGAAACAGTTGGGGGAGGGGGCAAAAGACTCTGCACCAATTCCAGCTCAGGCTCCACACCATCCAAAGTGGATGAATGACCGGCGGGGAGATTCTGACCAATGGCAGCGAAGGACACCGACGGTGACCTGTCGTGACTTCTGTGAGCCTTCATCAATGCGGTAAGCAATGGCGTGTATGAAGAGATATATTGCTGCGAAAGGGACTCTCCATTTGCCCTGTATTCGCCAGCAGCGTGCAACGGCAAGAAATTGAAGAGAGACGTCGGGCACCACCATATTCAGGAACCTTGTTGTGCAAATCTGCCCAGATTCTCGACCACCGGGCGGACGACATTGTCCCACAACTTCCTCAATACTTTTATCAGTGCTGATTGGTTCCTTTTAGGACCGGCCTCTTTATTAATTGCCTCCTGGACTGCGACCACCAACTTAATGAGTTTCAACCAGTTGATAGGAAGTTGAATGCTAGTCGGAGGTTGCTTGTGCGGGATAATAATGGCATCGCAGGACGACTTGCTTGCGATGAGCACGATGATAGGCCCATCACGAGCCGCATCTTGAAGATCGGAGAATAAGGGGGGAAGGAGGAAGCGAGAGAAACTTTCGATCTTCCGGATGTCTTCTACAGTTCTATTCCAGTCCTTCACTAAATGTCTGTACCTGGTTTCTTCTGCTTCTACATCGACCCTTGGGTTTGCTTCTGGATAGTTCGCAGGAGGTTTATTGAGGAGGGAGCTGAGGTCTCTGAATTTCTTCATCAGGGCCGCTGCGTGATCGCCGCGTGTCTGGAAGCTGTCAAGAGGCGTGCGGAGTCGTGTCATCTGGGTCCAGATGATAGTCCTGCCTTGTTCCAACAACTCAACGGCGCGACACACATCACCACGACCAAGAGCACACGATGCAGCATCCATGGCAAGGGTACTTGGGAAGTCCTTCATGATATTGTGACGAGACGATGCTGAAGCTGTCGTGGTCATGTGAGTGTCCAGAAGTTGCATGGAAGTTGCATGAGCCTCCAGTTCAGTATCATGTAAATATTGACGAGCATAATTAACCCAGCGCAGACTAGCTTGCAGGTGAGCCACCAAACCTGCAGAGACAACATTTACTGCTGCCTTGAAATGATGCATGGCAGCATTCAGACTGTCGGAGTCTTTGCCCGCGCCGGTGCTGTCAAGCCCTGAACGATGGAACGATAGATAGATGATAGCGAGTGAAACATGGACATTTACTTGGAAAGGATCATGTTGTGTCAACAGAGTCAATGCACAGTGTAGGTTCTCTCGTGACTCGTTGAGGTCTTCTCTATCACCTCGGCAGTCAAAGCGAGTGGAGAGTTGATGTGCAAGGTTGCTTAATGACCCGGACCGATATGTGTGACCAACCGGGCACAAAGCCAGTGCTTCTCTCTGAAGTGCGATAGCCTGGTTCAAGTCTTTGTCGTTGCCTCGGTGCTCAAAGCGGGTGGAGAGTTGATTCGAAAGGGTATTCAATGCCTTGAACTGATCTGTGTGACCGACTGGGCACAAAGCTAGCGCTTCCCTATAAAGTGTGGTAGCCTGATCCAAGTCTTTGTCGGTGCCTCGGTGCTCAAGGCGAGTGAAGAGTCGATTCCCAAGGTTGGTTAATAACCAGGACCGATCTGTGTGACCAACCGGGCACAAAGCTAGCGCTTCTCTCTGAAGTGCGATAGCCTGATCCAAGTTGTCGTCGTTGCCTCGGTGGTAAAAGCGGGTGGAGAGCCGATTCGCAAGGGAATTTAATGACTTGGACCGATCTGTGTGACTGATCGGATGCAAAGCCAGAGCTTCTCTGTGAAGTGCGATAGCATGATCCAAGTCTTCGTCGTTGCCTCAGTGGTCAAAGCGAGTGGAGAGTTGATTCGCAAGGTTATTTAATGACCCGGACCGATCTGCGTGACCGACTGGGTGCAAAGCCAGCGATTCCCTCTGAAGTGCGATAGCCTGATCCAAATCTTTGTCGTTGCCTCGGTGCTCAAAGCGGATGCAGAGATGACTGGCAAGGTTACCTAATGACGACGACCGATCTGTGTGACCGACCGGGCGCAAAGCCAGCGCTTCTCTGTGAAGTGCGATAGCCTGATCCAAGTCTTCGTTGTTGCCACGGTGCTCAAAGCGGGTGAAGAGTTGAATCACAAGGTTATTTAATGACAACGGCCATTTTGTGTGACCGACCGGCCACAAAGCTAATGCTTCCCTGGCAAGTGCAATAGCCTGATCCAAGTCTTCGTCGTTGCCTCGGTGGTCAAAGCAGGTGAAGAGTTGAGCCACAAGGTTATTTAATGACCTGGACCAATCTGTGTGACCGACCGGACGCAAAGCCAGCACTTCCCTTTGAAGTGCAATAGCCTGATCCAAATCGTCGTCATTGCCTCGGTGCTGAAAGCGAGTGGAGAGTTGATTTGCGAGGTTATGTAATGACTCGGACCGATTTGTGTGACCGATCGGGCGCAAAACCAGTGCTTCACTGTCAAGCGTGATAGCCTGATCCAGGTCTTCGTCGTTGCCTCGGTGCTGAAAACGGGTGGAGAGTTGATTTGCAAGGTTACTTAATGACAACGACCGATCTGTGTGACCGACCGGGTGCAAAACCAGCGCTTCCCTGTCAAGTGTGATAGCCTGATCCAAGTCTTCGTCGTTGCCTCGGTGCTCAAAGCGGGTGAAGAGTTGAACCGCAAGGTTACTTAATGACTTGGACCGATCTGTGTGACCCACAGGGCACAAAGCTAGCGCTTCTCTCTGAAGTGCGATAGCCTGATCCAAGTCTTCATCGTTGCCTCAGTGGTAAAAGCGGATGTAGAGTTGATTTGCAAGGTTATTTAATGACCAGGACCGATTTGTGTTACCGACCGGGTGTAAAGCCAGCGTTTCCCCGTGAAATGCAATAGCCTGGTCCAAGTCTTCGTCACTGCCTCGATGTTTGAAGCGAGTTTCCAGCATTAAACCCAGATTACCCAGCAATTGCCCTCGCAAAGCATGCCCAGTGTTGTAGTATCCCAGTGCATCATAATGAAGGGATATCACTTCTTCTAAGGCATGGGGTTCATCTCTCTGCAAACACCGCTCTGCTAGATGAGCAAGTTGATTCGGCGATAACGGAAGCATGGATGCGGCGGGCCGCTCCTGCCCAAGATCATTTACATCAATGCTTCCAGCAGAATGTAGAGCGGATGTTTTGATTGCAATCAAAGCTGCTCTGTAAATGTGGCTGTCGGCGTGGCAGACATCGACGACTTCGCTCAGCAACTCTTCAGCCGCATCAGCATCCGTCTGACATCCTCGTTTCACGAAGCGAGAGAGTAGAGCAATGGCAAGATGGAGCTGGGTGACAGTTCGGTCTGGATGATCAGTGGGACATAAATTAAGGGCATCTTGAAACAGATTGATAGGAATGTCGAGGTCAAGGTATCTTCCGTCTGCTTGGCAACTAACAAACTTTGTGGTAGCTAGATTGAACAGTGCTGCAGAGCGGTAGGGATGGTCCATGGGACAGAGATCCGAGGCACGTTCAAAGTGTTTTATGGATTGGTAGAGATCCCTACTGTTCTGCGTCCTGCGGTATCGTGCGAGAAGACGATGTCCGGAATCCGTCCTTAGTGCTAATGCATCCATATCACGGGATGTAAGCTACAAGTTACAAACCCTGAGCATCAGAATGTCAGACTGCATTGATCACTCACAGTAGTCAGGGGGCAAAGAACTGCAGCATTGTTTTCATCAAAAAGTTGCTGCTCCAGTGTTATGAACAGTGAAGTACACGCGGATACAACCTCCTCCTGCTTGGGCTGAAAGATTATGGCTATGATACTCGTTAACATCTGTTACGCATTATTTGCAATAAACCATACTGACGATGTGATTTTTTGCTGCGATCCAGTAATTCTCCGACTGAGATCTCGAATGTACGGAGGGCTTCTCCATGACAGAGTATGGGACCCAACTCAAATGAGGCATAAACGCTGACCCGAACCTTTAGAAGATGTCTTGCGCGGCCTAGAGTCTTTCTCAATACCTGCAAGAAAGACGAGATTAAGGGCAACTTACAGAAGTATGGGCCCGTTCCATTCGACGACAGCCTGATTTATGTGTACAGGTTTGTTGCTCGTCTGGCATTCAGCACTGTCAGTCTTTATTACCACATGGAAGCCAGCGGGGATGCATCGGAGGCCAAGAGTGAGATCGGTTGCGCGAATGGCTTGAGGAAAATCGTCAATACGAGCTGAGCGAAGGTAAATATTACATACCAGTAATGACGACTTGTTGTACTCCCACAATATGTGTCTCTTCCGGGCCCTGGGGTTGTCCTGGGTGGCTTGGCTCCTCACCCAAGGCTTGGAGGGTATCATTGAGCGGGTCTGGCACAGAGTCTGTCAAGAAATGAAACAGCAGAGCAATGACGAAATAAAGTGTTGCCAGAATCGCTTTGGGAAATTATCGATACATGGTGAATGAAGATAGATGACACATACTATGAACAGCAACTTGTAGTATTTCACTGATCACGAGGTTTGTCTGTCCTTGGTCCTGGGGGCGTTCTGGGTGGCTCAGCTCCTCTCCAAAAGGTGGAGGATATTCACCGAAATGACCAGGGACGAAGCTTGACATATGGCTGAGGGATAGATTCAAACTAACACTTGAGAGTAAGATGTGTGCTGGAGGTCATGAAAAGTGCTGTGCCGAATGGACTATAAAGGAGGAAACTACAGCATTCACATGATATCCACACGCTAGCTTGCAGCGCTTATGATAACAGGATAGAAGCAACTCGCAGCTATCCATAACCTCATTTACATAAAATGGGCCATTAATGGGCATAGGCATGCTGCGCCACTGTTTGCGGCAACTGCCGCGACCACTGCTGTACATGATGCTCTAGACTGTTAATGTTGACCGGTTGACCAGCCAGCCCCTCTTTAAAGCCTCATGGAGGGTCACTAGTCTAGCGGTGCCCCCAAACGGTGGGTAGTGGGCAATGCCCACCAGCAAAGCGTGACGCTTCTATAAGCCAAAAACCCCTATCATGGAAGGAATTTTCAAAACTTGTCACGGTTTCGCGTTTGTCACAAACGTGACTGGACGCGTCTTGGTCCAAGATCAAGCTCGATATTTTTTCCCCGCCAAGATGTCCTTTTCTAATCTTTTTGGGTCCTCCGCTGTCGACATTGGACAGTGAAGAGAAAAAATCAGAACACGTCACGAAGAAGATCAAAATCACCGCCAGTAATGGGTGGGAGCACGTCTTTGCAAGAGGTGGAATCAAAACGCGCTTTACAAAAACTACCACCGCAGATGCGACAGAATTCCTCAAGAACTATCGTCCTCGAGCACCAAAACAGAGTCTCGAAATACTTATATCATTACCTTTGGATATCCTATTCGAGGTAAACCAGGTCCCTTGTCATATGATCATTCGAGATAGTAATCATAATCACCGCGCCTAGATCTTTGGGAGGCTGCTTCCACTCGACTTACTTCATCTCGCACGCACTACCAAGTCTCTGCGCGCCATGCTGATGCATCGCTCATCTACCACCGTGTGGATGGCTGCGCGGTCCAATGTGAAGGGAATGCCTGCTTGTGCTGATGACATGTCAGAGCCTGCGCATGCGAGCCTCGCGTTCGACATGCATTGTCACGTAAGTGTTCTAAACATAGCACTCGGATGCATTTGACCCTCTTTACTTAGAATTGTCTCAAACCAAATGTGCGCAATGTCGACTGGAACCTCCGAGTGAGGTACTGCCAAAAATGCTTTAAAGAGCGGTAAGCTACATCTCGTTTGATGATAGTAGACTTACCGACTGGCGCTTCAGCACAGAGGTTATCGATGATAAGTTCAAAAAAGCATATGGACCAAAATTGCACCATTGCTTGTCATTGAGCATGACGCAGAATCGTTAGTTTTCGGTCCATTCACTGGCGCATGTCCTTACTTGATTTCACTTTCAAGGCAATGACATCCGCTGTCTGATTTCAGACAGGGAATCATTGGTCGACGAGTTGTTAAAGCTCGGGCCAGAAGAAAGATCTGTCTTTCGAGGAACAAAGAGAGATGCAGTGCTCGTTCGCAAGGAGGTATGCCTCCTGTTTTTAAAAGGCTCATTCTTGTTTGTTGAGCGTATGCAGCATGCAATTCTGTGCACAAAATGGACACAGGGCGAACAACAGAGCAGATGGGAGGAGCTCGACCATCTGAGAAGCTTACGCTATGACGCGTAAGTCTTGTGTCCAGTTTATAGCGCTCACTGCTCAACAATTACAGCATCGTGAAGAAGTTGATCGAACTTGGCTGGGAGGAAGATGTCAACAAGCTTCCAGATCAGCATACTGCACGAATCTACAAGCTGACCCATTTTGAAGATCATCCACTTGTCAAGCAGCCAAAGCCCTTGACCGATCGTAGTAAGGCTTTTCATTTGCTTTGAATCGTTCGTGTTCCTTTAACGCTGATTTTGAATAGTCTGGCAAAATATCCAACACAAAATGGTTGAATTCATGAGCCAAATGCGCGAATTCCGCATTCAACAAGAAAGAAAACAGCAGATCAGGGAGCGACAGAGCCTCATCGCAACGATATACAGTGACTGGCAACGGGAGAAAGGGTATCACAAGTATCTCATGCCTACTGCCGCTGATCTTTTGGGGATGCGACAAGTTCGCGATATCGTGGAGTTGCCTGCTCATCTGACCATCACTGTGGAAAATTTTCAGCCCGTTCGCGAGGAGCTATCTGAACTAGTCGACACCTGGAAGCGCTGCGCTATTCATGATTTGCGGCCAGATTTGCTATGGCAGCTTGAAATCCACCCCCCGTACTGGCAAGACCGACTCTCTATTCGATGCGAGAAACTTGCTGTTGCTGTCTTTACGTGCAGAGTGTGGCTTTGCGAAGACATTCCTGAGCCTAATGACTCGCCTCGGTACATGTACTTCCCGGAGTATCTTCACCATAGGTGCAATCGGATCCGGCGACGATCATGGGATGAACTTCACCTTCCCAACACGTTTTCAATGGGCCAAGGATACCCGGGAAGTACTGTGCAACGAAAGTGGTCCATGGACGATCTCGAATTCGACAAGAAGGCCTCCCAAACCGTGAAGAACATCCTTCGTGCATGTGACTTAAACTGGAGAGTGGCAACAGTGTCCGAGCTCGATGATCTGGACCCTAGGCTGGTCTGCCTAAAGTGCAGCTATGGCAACCGCTGTGATGGAGAGAGACCTATGATAGCCCGTTCGTGGCGAGAATCTGTAGGTTGATCTGTGGGCCGAAGTAGGACGGCGTTGACGAAATATAACAGGTCAAGCATTGCGCTAAGAAGCATTGGAGTGACTCCACTGTGAAGTGGGAGAAAATTTCGGACGAGGAGGCTAGAAGTCTTCGCCAAGACCAACAGGAAGCCGCCGCGAGTACCACGACACCTCCGCGCAAAATTTGGCGGTGCACTCATTGCCATGACAAGCCTAAAGAACCGGAGAAAATGACTGTGCAGGGAATGACGGATCATTTGGAGGATCAGTAAGTGATTCACCATGTATATGTATCTCTCTTGACTGATATCGACTCTGCGAAGTCATTCGATAAATCCAATCGACCAAGTTGTGGGAAAAGACTTCGCTGAAGCTTTGGACGTGCCTCCTCTAGCTATTCCTTCTGCAAAACTGAAGCCGAAAGCTGTGGACCCTCCGCCTTTGAAATATCACCCAGTACCACACTGGGAAAGAAGCTTCAGCGATATGTTTTCATGAAGTCGCTATTGCGAACCCAAGTATGCAGATATTGCGATTGAGTTCGTGGGTAATTGGTTACCCATCCATACTCCAATAAAAGCTTGAATAATTAATTAGCATCACATACCACGTAGTACGTACTAGAGCAGAGCTTGTGGTTATGATTAAATTTAACGAAATGATTACTAAGCACTCCCTGTAAGTCCGAGTTCGATGAAGCTCGCACTTATCAAGTCATGGCCACATTACAGGCAGCCCCAGTGGACCCGACCTCCATGCAAGATGTTACACCAACATTAGAAGAAAATGGGACGCCTCAACCAGAGGGGGATGAAATTGTTTCCGAGACCCTTTATATCCAAAACCTCAATGAGAAGGTGAAGATCGACGGTGAGCATCGAAATATACTACAGCTTGGTCATAACCGATCTCTCTTCTTTCCATAGTGCTCAAGGCTTCACTAAAAGGCTTGTTCAAGTCGTATGGGGAGGTGCTGGATGTTGTGGCGCACAGCAACCTAAGAATGAGGGGGCAAGCATTCGTCTCATTTGCATCCCCAGAGATCGCACAGAAAGCTATGAAGGAAGTCCGCGGCTTCCCTCTCTACTCCAAACCTATGGTATGTATTTCTAAGTTCCAAGCTTGTTCTCCGCTCACATGATTGTCTCAGCAAATTACGTTTGCGCGGACGCGATCTGATGCTGTTGTCAAACGATTGGATGCTGCCAACCTTGAACAACACACGTCCAAGAGAGCTGAGCAAAAAAGTGGGTTATTCTTGAAAATGTCTGTTACCCGGAGCTAAGAAGAGTTGAATTGTGCAGGGCGTACGCGATATTCGAACCCCTTGAAACAGAAATTCAAGGCTAAGCGGATGGCTGCAGAAAGTTTGTGCTACAGCTTCATATTCACCAGCTGCACACTGAATTACATTCCTTTCAGTTGACGGAGCTGCTGCAGCTCCTGCAGCTAGGCGTCCCAATGTCCAGATGCCAGACGAATACTTGCCTCCCAACAAGATCCTTTTCCTTCAAAATCTACCTGAAAGCGTTACCAAGGACCAGCTTATGGCCCTCTTTTCTCAGTATGTAAACCTCCTCCGTGTTGGGAGGCCGTTCTTGACTTCCTCAGGTACCCAAACCTCCACGAGGTTCGGCTTATCCCAACAAAAAAAGATATCGCGTTCGTGGAATACATGGATGAAGGCAGTGCTGGGATTGCCAAAGATGCTCTTCACAACTACAAGCTTGATGGAGAGAATAAGATCAAGGTCTGTGGATACGTTTTTCTTTAAGAACTACTCTCATTTCGTTTCAGATCACATTCGCCCGGAAGTGAACTTGCTTCTTGTATTGTCGTGTTTCGGGATACTGTATCATATTTTAATTGACGTTACTTGAGTCAGAACTCTAGAGTGGTCCCCTGTTGTTGACATGACTGCCTCAAGCCCTCTCAAGCCCCCACTTTGCCAAATGATACCAAGACCAAGATTTCGAAGATCAGCCAATGACTCAGCGTGATTTAAAAATTGTACTCCGGTCCCGGGCCGCGCAAGCGAGCCGAGAGCGCTTTGATGGAATCTTTGCTTGTTTTTCCGCCATCATAATATGCAACTGAGTCTCGGACTGCACTCAGACTACCTATCCGCGTTTGGCCAGGAACTTGAAGGAACACCATAGCAAGGCCTAGAAGACGTTCGCGATGCACTCGTGGAGCAGAAGCTTTGCTGATCTTGATAAACCAATACAAGCTTTACGGCACTTCTAAACTTGATCACCTGGATTGTGTACCTTGGGTTGGCAAGGGTTCGGCATCGCGATTGGAATTCATCAAGACCCTGGTTGATCATTATTCCTCATTCTAAAGTTCGTTCAACTTTGTTCCAGCTTGAATCACGAATCAAAAATGAACCCGAAGACTGTGGTGAGTACGCTCGCCGCGGGGCAGCATGGTCAAGATAATCATGGCCTCCTAGGTGTATGAATCATCAGACGACGAGGAATACTCAAACGGCTTGGACGATTTCAAGATGCAAGTAGAAGCTTTAGGTACGCGTTGGCGGCAACCCAAGTCGACGCGGATTCAATTGATCGTTGCAACTCTATAGATCACTCCCAGTCTCCAACTCAACCTTTGGCTGAAGTCCTTGGAGAAAAACTGTCCATTTCGCAGGAGACAACGCCTCGAGCGACTAAGGTGGATACGCATTCACGAAGTCGCTTGTCGCATGACGACGAGGAGATGCGTGAGATCGATGAAGGTACAGTGTCGAGTTTGCTCAAATGAATATATCATTCACGCCCTCACAGTAGCTCAACGATGTAGGTTATCTCTCCCTAATTCGCACTTTTATTAATCAGTATCATCCAAACCAGTGATAGAATCGGACAGTGATTCTGGGTCAGCACCGTCGACCGAGCAATCTTCGCTGTTCTCGAGTCGCACGACCTCGATATCGTCCGTTGAATCCACGTGCCTGAAGCGTGGACCAGACTGGTCGCCGCCTCCCCCGCCAGCGGTTAAGCGCAAAGTGTCATCTTGCGCACCAGTTGTAAGTCATAAAATGCTCTTCCATCCAACGTGTTTTCACAATGCTGCAGGTGAATCTGCCACAGGTCGGAAAAGGTCGAAAACGCAGATCCCCCGAGTTCGGTGTCGAATTAGATATTGTCAACATCGCCCACTGCGAGAAGGCTCAGATGGTGCTTGATCGACATAAACTTGCGTGGGGAACGATTTTCGAACTGGCACGAGGTGTCACTCGTGGCATGTGGACATTCCAAGACATGACAGAGCATCGTCTACAAAAACTCAAAGGTTCAAACGCTCAATCTGCCTGGAAAGTCGCTATCGTCATGGCAGACAAAGTTCCATCTGCGATGGGAGCGCCATCTGAACTTTGGTATTAATCCTATTCGCCTCATAAATTACGAGCTAAACGTAATTGAAAGGCTCGAATACGATCGCGAGCAGCTCGCGATTATCGAAAACGAAGGTCGCGGTCTGGGAACTATGGGACAGTGGGAAGGAAAAGACCATTGGTACGGAGGGAAGATCCAGCAAGTTGCCCGTGTCGTGAAAGCTGGATCGTCTTTTAAATTCGAACTCGAGAAACCAGAGATTCGGAGATCACATCGGTTCGCTCGGTTCTTGGGGTCTCGTCGCATCCTCCAAGTCCGCGTGCCAGATAACCTTACCTATGATAAACTCGGCTCGGCACTCCGGGAATTCTTAATATCAAGTAAATTCGTGTTATGTGGCCGCGTCTTCGTACCCTTCCATGCTAAGGAAGGGAGCATGTACCTTTTTGAAACGAACGAGAACATAGATCGGCAGACAAACCTTGGCGATGGCGACAGTCACAGACTGACACTCTACCAGTTCGTGAAATGGCACAATCCTCTGAGTTTGAATTCGAAACAGGTGACTACGTTTCTGTCCGCATTATGCAGCTCTGACGCGCTCCCCGAGTAGCCCATCAGCAAGTGGTCTACACGATGGGCGCTCGGCCTATCAACATCGGTGCCGACAATTGAATTCCCTCCAGAAAACATATTCTTCATTAGTGACCAACGTAGCATTTCCTCTAATTCCTGAACTATGAGGCACTGACTGCTTAGGTATCGTAGATGCTGTGGACTGGGGCAATGGAAAGCCCCCAGCTGAAAAAATCATGACTGATGGGTGTGGTTATATCAGCGGTGCGGCCTTGACGGCCATCATGCGAGTGATGAAGTATTCGAGTAGACCGACTGCCGTACAAGGACGCATTGCCGGTGCAAAGGGAATGTGGGTTCTGCACCCAGATCCCGCCCATCAAATCGCCGATGGACCTGCCGAAGATCTGGATACGTGATTCACAGAATAAGATCAATCTTGGCTCGCTACACAAGGTCGACAGCGCGCACAGGATTTTCGACCTCCTTGCGCCATCTCGGGTAACCGGGCCAAGTCGTCTGTCGAGTCAGACGCTCGTCAACTTGGCGCATGGCCGTGTTCCCCTGTCTGTTCTGAAGGATCTCATGGCAGATGGGCTTCACGAGGAAGTCCGTCAGCTGACTGAATGGAGTGGACCAGACAGCATGCTTATGGTCTGGCGAGCTGTGGAGCAAGCCGGCCGTGTTGTAACATCGAGGCTGCGGCGGCGCATTGCTGGCCAGGCACGAGCGCTTGGTCTTGGCCAACTCCGACCCAACGAAGAGCTCGCTGCCGGAATTGATGATTATGACGATGTCGCGGTGAGCCCATCGCTGGGTAACTCGGTTAATCGGGGTCGCGATCCTTACAGCGGTTCACCGCTGACTCTACATGAGTCGGTCCTCGAACTCCTGCAGGCCGGTTTTCATCCTCTTAAGCTTAACCAACTTTTTTACAAACTTGAGTACGTGGTGACCCAAGTCCTCGACGACTACATTGAGAAATTCCACATTCCGGTCAAGGAGTCCCTGGAAGCTTATATCATACCGGGCAAGTGGCTTCTTTCCGTGGTCATTTTTTAGCTCATCTAGCGGCAGATCCGTATGGGGTCCTCGAGGAGGGGGAAATACACTTCCGTTCTTCAGAACTCATCACTGACCCTGAAAGCGGTACCCAGATGGATACCGTGACAGGGTCTGTTTTGGTGAGTACTTTAGTTCATTACAATGAACTGTCCTGAGGTGTTGATGGACAGGTGTGGAGGAATCCCACAAGACTGCCCTCCGATGTTCAAAAGGTAAGGAAATCAATACCTCGTCAGATGGCCTTATCAAGCATGGGCCAGGTCACTGCCATCAGCCACCCAAAATTGGCTAATTACTTCGATGTCATCGTGTTTCCTGTGAAAGGGGAGCGCTCATTGGCGAGCTACTTGGGTGGAGGAGGTAGGCACCTGTTTCCATCATCATTTTCCGGGCATCGCCTGACGTGTTCATTCTGTAGATTATGACGGAGGTCAGTTTGCATCTTGCATTTTTATCATTTAATAATTGCTTTCAAAGATACGGTCACGTTGGTCTGGTCCAAACGTCTTGTCGAGACCTTCAACACCGCACCGCTGTGTACGGCGCCTGCGAGTTTGAGCGACGACTTTGAGAGAGAAGTTGAACATGTTGAGGATTTTGACGGACGAGTATCCAAGCTCTCTGCAAAGGAGGCTCAAACTGCGTTCCAGAAGGTCCTCCTCCTTGGACTCGCAGAGACGAAAGTCGGATTATATTCAAAGTTCCATGACCTCGCCGTGTATGAGCGCGGCTATGCAAGTGCTGCCGCCACTCGACTGGCATACATGTGAGAATTTTCAGTCTATTGCTATGGAACTCACATTATGTTATGCGGTGCAGGTTCACTACCTGCCTTGATGCGAGCAAGACGGGGCTGCGGGTCAAAGCCCATGTCTTCGAGCAAGATCGCAAATCTTGTGGGAACCGCAAGCCTTATTACATGGTCGCTCTCGAACAGAAAACCGAGGGTCAAGCGGTATCGAAGCGCAAGGGCTCGACTCCGTACATTCTCGATGCCCTTGTTGATGAGGGCCGTCGCCTCCGCGACGATTTCCTCAAACAATATTCTGTTCTCCGGAGTTCTTCCACTAAGACGGCAGACCACGACCTCACCTCCCCTTACCTTTCTGCGTCTCGTAGGGCAACGCAAGCTTCGTACGCGGGTTTTCACATTCTGCAAGATAACTTAAGCGCCGTCAAAGTCCATGTCCAGAGAGCATATGGGGACTGGCAAGCCGCCGTTGCTCTCCAGAAGAAGACTTCGGAAGAGAGGGGGTCTTCGGATCCCAAGTCACAAGCGATCCAAAAATCCGTGCAACACTTTGCGCGGCGGCCAGAGGTTTTGTTTTTTTCTGACGAGGAACTCAAAATTATCATGGCATCCTACGCATACAATCTTAGCAGTGCATTCGGCTTCTCCGTTGCATTCGCGGAGCTCTGCGCCATCAAGGCACGAGTCCAAGGTGCTGTGCTTTTTGCAGATAGGTTCGCAGAAGTGATGTGTATTCCTAACAATATCCTTCGAGCCCTTTCACAAGCATAGGATGACGTGGATGATTGAAATTTTACATCTTTGTCGGTCATGATACATCATTACTTCGCCATATAGCCCATACTTTTTTCTCTTCTTTTAAATCCTTGTTCATTGTCCTGTGGGGCGGGCCCTATGGTGGACACCACGTTGAATTGTCGTATAGCACATACTTGCCGTGACCATTTCCTGATTCTATCATCCTCTCAATCCTCTCGATTTATATGTATATGTTGGCCACTATCTCTGTACTACGTAACGACAATCTACACGCCCAAATTCCCCCAGAGCGATTTCGAGCACTGACAGGCCATTGAAACGCAGCGACAGGCATTTGCTGCGAAGCTGAGACATTCAACATCGATATCTGTATCTCAGGCTAAAAATTTCGACACGACATTAACCCGCACAAGGTCTATCTTCCAGCGGCGTACAGCAGAGTGTCCTGTGGTTGAGTATGCGCAATTGCAGTGGAAACTCGCCGGTGTCGAGGGACAAATATCTTTAGTGCTCCTCCAAACGAATTAAATCTCCTGTAGTTAATATCCTTTTCATTGATGAAGAATGTAGTAGTTTCTGAACTACTGGTGCCTCGGGCCTCGGACTTGACTATTGTGTTGCAGATCCGATGGACCATCATCCAGAACTCAAATCAGATAAAGGCATTTCATTGCGATCATCATACATTGCACTACGGTTATCGAGCATCATAAACCGCGATAGGGCCCTGATGTGCATTTCTATTCGCCGGTAGTGTACTGATGAGCCGCTTACAGGCGATGATCTTCCCCTTGCTGACTACGACAGGTTAAAAACTACCAGATATCAGTGTCAAAGTGTGTCAGGCGTGTCACCAAAGGCTTCACTTAGCTTGTGGGAGCAGGTTGACACATGATTACAGCGGCCTTTCTCCAGTCCGATGTGCCAGAGGGGGGTAAATTGAATTCCAGTTGCGCCCGTCAGATAAGTACACTTAGTACGACATGTTCGGTTGATCTCGGACCGGAAGGCGCTGCTGGTTATCCTTCTTCGTGCATACTAGCTGCTGGTATCATTTATGGCTCAGAATGCGGGAGCACGAGGTCCAGAGCCACGAATCACTCACATCGATACGTGGCCCTCGGAGTACTAGCATCTCCACCTATGTGGGACGAATTCGCTGTTAAATCGTCTTGTCGACAGCGGACACAGTTAGCTGACAACACCCCGAGCCTTCCACTAGTACTGTTCGGTCGTAGTTGCAGGAATAATTCTTCTCCCCGCGTGTGATGTTGGCATAATAACAAGAGTTCAATGTAACGGCAAGCGATCGATGACGTCGAGTACACAAGATCCAGAGTGCACAGCACGACTGGCTGAACAGAGTATTTGATCTTGCTTCTATCTGGTCTGCCTGTGGGAGACTAAGGGCAGCGTTGAGCGCTGAACGCTGAACAATATTGAACGACAGCTTTGTGATAGACTGACATTAGTAGTAATTCAAATTGCCCAGCTAGTGATAGTGGCGCAATCATAGCAGGTGTTTTGATCTGTTTTGATATACGAGCTACTACCAACCATACTAGTACTAGTAGTACCCCACAAGCAGTCAATCACACACCTCTGCATGCACAACTGCCGACATTTTATTTCTATCTTCGATTGATTCGTTATCGCGAGTGTGAACTCAATCAGACGCTGAGTTATGGACTCGGCGCGCCATTGCTATTCTCGGAGACTTCTGAAGTTCTCCAGTTTACTCCTGCTTCTCACTCAATCATGCAGCACGTACGTGAAACATTGTCACAGACAAACCGCGGCACAGTAGCCGATCCAGTTTCATAGCCTCAAGGAAGGACTGGAGTGTCATCAACTCGTGTACAAAAATTGTTGACTTCGTCAGACTCAAGCGCTAGTCGGACTCGCGGTTATATTTGGGATGTCACGATGCGATCTTCTCGTCGAAACACTCGGATGTGGAGCTACGGTGTGCAAATATATCCAGGGGCTTTTCGCTGTCATTGCAAACATCGCATTACCGTGACGCGGGAAGTTAGTTCTCCGATCAGGTGTATCGTGCCTATGCAAGAAATTGATAATCGAAATATATCCTATGGGGTCCATTCCTCCCAGGACGGAGCATGGCAAGAATCTGTCCTGTGTATGTATGTATGTATGTACCAACCTCTTTTTAACGCCTTAGACTTCTTATAAGCTATATCGCGGGATTGGCCAGTTCAGGCGTTTTTCGCCGGTTCTCCCACTGCCCCGCTCGTTATCTTTGCGATGAGTATTGGTCTGATTTACGGAGCCATGTTGGTCGGTGGCTTGCTTGCCTTTGGGAGAGTAATCAACCTTGATGCCAAAATATGACGTTTGTCTGACGGAACTCCTCACAGCTTGTCAGGTTGTGTTAACATGCAATTCATCGTGTATTGCCGGGTCTACTATTTCCGCGAGAGTTGGCGTACTAAGTCATTGGTACGGAACTTTTTCTTTCAAGTCTGTATCATTTTAACCATCTTACAAAGGTCATTGTGATATGGTACGTTCCTGTGTCCTGATGTATGCTAGACGAATGTCAATAGAATTCAGGCTGCTTGACTTGTCTCATTCCGCACTTGTTGCAGTCGCCCTTTGGGATTCCATCATTGCGACCTATGGTGATCTCAGTAAAGTTGACACAATCCCCTGGTGCGCGTGATGTCATTGTTTACGATCAGCTGGAAAAATTGATCGACCATCAGGTGTATTGGTGTGAGCAATTACGTTTTAGACGTTTTGTCCTGGCATTAATGCGGCTCCATGTAGCCTACGATCGAGCTTACTGTGCGTTCTCACACGTTTGGAGCCCCATAATGCTCACTGGAGCATTCACCAGGCTTTGATTACCTTCCTCGTTCAAAGGTTGGCTATACCATATGAAGAAATATGGTTCTGACTCGAACTTCAGCTTCTTTGCGTACCGAATCTATAGACGTTTCGTACATTTCTTTGGTTTTGCGTTTCACGCACTGATATCGCTATGAAGTGCAAAACAAGAAGCTCGCTGTAGCGATTCCGATTGTAGGTTTCATGTTTGCGGTTTTGCTACCTGAATGATGAAATTTCCGTTTGCAGGTTGCGCTCTCTTTTGCTCGTTTAAGTGGGTGCGCTTTGTCAATGCAATAATGCGAACTTATTCTGATTCTCACTTCAGTTATGGCTAGCAGTAAGTTATGAAGTACCGCACATGTGGTTCTTCTAAATCATGATATCTAAACTTTACCAGTCACAAATAGCGAGATGTGAGCAGTGTTTGAAACAGGAATAATAGCCACTGAAGCATATTTTTTGCAGGCTCAAATTGAAATCATACGATACATTCTTTCAACGTAATTTCTCATCTGCAGGTGGTGGGCAGCTTCGCAGTATTGACATTCCGATAGGATTTTCTTGGGTCTTCACTATTGGCCTTTTACTTTCAGTACTCGTGGATATCATGATTACAACTTTCCTGTGCTACTTCCTTCGCAAAAATCGACCAAAGTTTACAGAGTAAGTCATTATATGACCTTGCTGTGTAGCCGGCGTTCACTCAGCTTATAGCACTATGCGTATCATCGACACCCTGACATTCTGGACAATTCAGAATGGCTTGATGACAAGGTATGTCATCTAAGTGCAGGCCATAAACCATATCCTGACGCCACCTTAGTGCTGCAGCTACCGCAACATTGCTTTGCGTGAGCATCCCTAATGTTTGTTAAGTTTCGATCACTCAAATACCACAGTGGAAGATCATGCCTTCGAACCGCATATTCCTAGGTCTTCACTTTGTTGTAGCAAAATGTAAGCCATTTCAAATCATCGTGAACATATCTGATCTGGTTATCGTTGAAGTAGTATATGCAAATTCCCTTTTAGCTACGTGAGTCACATGTTTGATGCGGTATTTGCGGGCTGCAGTTTAATCTGGTGCTATAGCCTCAATGCTAGAAAGGAAATATTGAATGGAAAGCAATACGCTCCTACGAACAATCAGCCTATGTCAATCGTCTTTAGGGAGCATGGACCTGATTCTTCGATAACGCAGCAGGGATCGGTAAGCATCATGGCCCGTCACGGGCGAATGATATATTACATCTTACACAACCACAGCTGCGAGTGGACACTCCCCAACCGAAAGCAGTGCACCAACGGGGGACATTGGTGTGTAACTTTGCTACGTATTCTAAATACGACCTTTCTGACTGTCACAGACGCAATTGAATGTTGAACAGATCGTGGAGTCCAAGGATGATGATTATAAGGAAGTGGGTATGACAGACTGCGACGCGAACGATAGCCCAGTCTGATGTTCTGTAGTTCGACCAACGCACTGATGACACCCTCATGATCATTCACGGCATGTATTTGATATCAACCATGCTATCTTACCTTACTTAACATGTGTCCCATATATTCTCATCATATACCTACCAATGTTAACCTGGAAGTTACTACGTATTCTTTCATCCTCAAGGACTTCAACCTGATTTTCCATGTCATGCAAACCCTCCAGATTTCAAAAACCATTGACGTTAACTACATATAATGATCAGTGTGTATCATTTATAGGCTGCCGTCTTCTATATGAGACGTGCGCAGATAGATTCGGTACGATCCCCTCCCCAAAGATGAAGTTTGGTGGACGCGATGTCCATTCATCGCCAAATCTTATGTCGTAGGTAGATATCATGTACGCAAACATGACTTTCAGTTGGTAAGTGAGTAAGAAACGCCCAGGACTGAATACAACAATCGCGATTTAAGTGTCAAAAACTCAAGAGCCGATGGAGATCTTTAACTTACCACAAATGTTTCCCGTAACCAAAAAACAACCACTGGGGTGTGATAGTGGTCATGATGTGTTCTGGATTGTCCGAAAACCTGAAAGGTCTGAATTCGTCGGGGGCCTCATATGCTGTACTGTCACGGTGAAATGGCGGCAAAGACACCGCCACGATACAATCCTTGGGGAGGAATGTGCCATCGGAGAGCGATAAATCACGCATCGCCTGCCTGAAGAATCCCACTGGCAAATAGTTCACAGCTTAGTCGTAGGTAGGTTTAGATGAAAAACGCACAAGATGATACACCATTGATCCTGGCGCTTTCCCTCAGGAAACTGTCTATCTTGCTCATCTTTGCGACGGATTGTATATTCCAGCCTTCGCGCTGTACGATGGGGTCAACTTCATCCCGCAATGCCTGCGCAACCTCAGGTTTTGTGGCTAAATGATATAGGGCGTGGGTAAAGGTCTACAGACAAGTTAATGACCGTCGGGCTTTGAAGGATTTCTTACATTTGAGGGCGTCTGGGGTGTGCTGTCAGATAAACTATTAGGAAAGGTGTCAACACATACAGATGAAACCGCGATGGTGAAACCAAGCAGGCGGGTCGTAAGGTTTCTCAACAAACTATCTTCACCTGCAGATCGCCTTACAAGTCGCGCGAGGAAGTCCATCTGCGGTAACCGCAATCAGCGAATCGGTGTGCAGCAGCGAATTTCATACCTTCTGTTGGTTTGGAACAGAATATTCGTCCACTTCGCTCATGCAAGCCTCCACTGTAGGACCCAATAACATAGTCGCACGATCAACATTTGCCTCGAGGCTGCTAGCCATTTTCACAAAGAATCTGAATTTGTTCTGAGTTTTCATTTTCATTTGCGTCTTTGTGCGACCTACGGGAATGTCCATGATGGCACAAGACGTCTGATCACGCCCGATATCGCCACATCCTTGTAAATCTTGGCCACTAAGGAACACCACTCGGAGTTGCGACCTGCAGAACATAGTGGGAATCTCGAACAGGACAGACCGTAGCACATACATAGAGGATATCCAACAAAGAATCGTTGCCACGTCTGCACCATTATTCGATTTACGGTGCCCAAAACGGGGATAGAGGTCCATTCTGCTTGATGTTATTCATCGCTTCGTCAACTGTAGACCTGCATCCTCACCATCACTCTCATTTCCTAAAACGTTCTCGAGAGACGTGAACAACTCGTCTTGAACTTCGTCGCCGATTTTGGTTGCATTTCTAGCAATATGACTCTTGAGTAGTTCAGCAAGAAGATCATGATCTGGACTGCCGATGTTAATCTCTAATGTATCGTCAACACCCATGATCTCAAGAGCTGTGTCAATAGTTCTTAGCTGAAGAGACGACAAGGGTCTCACATCTTTCATAGCCTCACGAAACGAAAGGTCTTCTTCCGCAGCATTCGCAACTTCCAGCATGTGCTGCGGATCACTGAAAACCACCGTCCAGCGCAGCATAGTTGCGACCTTAAACGGTCTACTACCATACTAGTATTGTGCGTCATTTGCAAGTCGAGATGGATGAGAAACAAATATACCTTTTCGTAGCCCTCCTTGAGGACACCTGGTGCGTCTACAAGAAATCTGAATGCGCCTACGTAAAAGTTACTGAAACAACGAGACGGGCCGAAGGAGCAGCCAATAGTCGGGAAATCATCTAACTGCACGGACAACGTCAGCTTGATGACTCCAGTAAAATATAGGATTGCCTGCGTTTGGAGCCTTGCGTCTTCTGGAAAAGAACACCAGAACAGGGATGACTCCCGAAGTCAGTAGAAGGATGGTTCTGGGTGAGTGCCACATGAGGGGAGTTTGCGACATCAGTCATCCAAGGTTTAAGAATAACATTTATTGTATGGGATCAATAACCTGGTGGAAACCATTGTCGTAAGGGAGATAGCTTTGAGTTCCTTTGGAAAGGGAAGAGCTTCAAATGACCATCAGATAAGTATAGGACGCGAACAGACTTTCCTTCATTTTGATGGGCGCGTTTCACTGTCTTGGATACGAGCCGGTTCCTAAAGTTATTAGTAATTACGGCAAGACTTATCTATCAGACGATATCATCACATGATAATGTAGTTTCAAAACTTGTGGCTGGAGACGCAAGAGCAGGTACTGATAATGCGGTATGCACTATGAAGGACTCGGATGTGTTTCGCAGAATTCTTCAGCACTCTGCCGAGGGGGGGTTCTAGACGTTCCGAGTTAATATACCCTAAAGCGTTTCATTGAAGTTCCACAATCTTCCCGCATCAATGCGTGGAGCAAAGTTGGGAACGATCGATTCTGAGCATAATCATCGAACGTTGACCTAGTCCTAGTATGATGTGGACTTCGAATTCCTGTAGTCTATACACGGATCTCTGGGTAGACCGGCTTGCACCTTCAATTTCTCATAATAGCATCGTAACGGCGCTCGGCCCGCGCCAGTCCCCGACGACAGAAGGGTGTCTTGCGAAACATGGGGCACCGTGGACCGCCTGTGGTAGATAAACAATTGCTGTCAATCAAGTCGTAAGTATGAGTCAACGGGAAGAATGGGGAGAACGCTCACCTCAAAGTTTCGCAACGACACGGCGCCCGATAATTAATAAGGGAAATGATTTCCACGCATGGACGGCATCGAGATTCGAGACCCTCTTTCACTAAAATCGGTGTCGGAGATCCCAACATATCTGCTGTCCTATTGGTTTCAGAGACCGATTATGCTCCACCACTGTTTGACGCTCGCTACTCGAATGATTTGTTGTATGCCTGCAATCACTAAAGCTGTGCCATGCGGGCCCGAGATCTACGATGATGGAAAGCAAGCGGGCAGCAGAGCCTGTAAAACAGACATCCTTGGTGCCACCATTCTGCAGAATCTGCACGCGATGAACACCGAATATTGAGTCATTGGCCCGGCGGTGTACAATTTAGGTGACTCATTTCCCTTACGTCTGTTATCAATTGAAAGATAACGCCATGAGGCTGTTACTACTCGCCCCAACCTGCGATTTAGGGTCCCGGGAATTAGGGTATGGCGTCTGGTTCACCTGTGACTCCCACGTATTGCCTCTAATTAGACGTGATTATAGATAGGGCTAGCACGTCTAAAACGACAGAGTTCCAGCGTTTCCAAGCCTCCTTCAATAACTCTTGGATAAAGAGTGACTTATAATAACAGCAAGCAACTTGAACTGTGGCCTAGCTAGGTAAGCCAGCGTGGGACGTCGGCGTTAACGTAGGTAATGTTCCTGGCATCGGCTATCTTGCGCCTGCCGTGTGAACCTTCGTGCTCGCTGTCATACACGACGAGCTCGATAAATCAACATATCGGAGGCGCGTTTTGATACTTAACAGTAAGCATAATAAAAGAAGTGCGTTGCAACAGTATGACGGATAAACTAGACTACTCCTCTACTTCACCATTGTCAACAACCTGGAGCTGTGAGAAGTCAGCGGTGATGGTGATAATGTCCTGCAAACTCCTCGAGGCTTCTTCTGCGACCTCCTCTGCGATCTCCTCCTCATCTAAATCCTCTTGAGTATCCGCACCTATAGGGGATGAAGGGTTGTGTGCAGGTATATGGGCAGCAAACACGTTGGCGGGAATCAGAGGATCTGGCATGCTGGCACTCTCCCCGATACCGGTGCAAGCACTTAGACCAGGGACGAGTGTACCATTGAAGCCGGGAAGCTTTGAGATATCATTGAGCCGCTTGATATGGCGGGAGTTGAACCGGCCACGAATGTTCCGATGTATAGCGATTTGATGGGCAAGGGCAGGGTTAGCAACTGTGAGTCGATCTTCGCACACCCGCAAATACTTATCTTCATCTCGTATATATGTCACTAGACGGCGAACCTCGATATTCAGACGACAAATCTCCTCGCGTGCTCGACACATTTTAAAATAAAGATCCATCCCACTCCGAGCTGCTGGTGATGACCAAGGTAATTGAGAGACATCGGAGCGCGTCTTTCGTAGCAGCTCGAAGTCAGCGAGAAAGGCGTACTCGACAACATCCTCCCACTTGAGTATTTGCCGGGGAGGGTACACCGCACTGGCAAGGTTGTTGTATGTGTTGAGGGCGGACCTGATGGCGGCAGAGCGCGTCTGCAAGGCCCCTCGCAATATGTTTTCGCAGTTTGTAACCTTGAAACATAGATAGAGTTAGCTGAAACAAGCCAAACTAGACTCAAACTCACCTGTCCCCGCCCTATTCATCTTCGCAAGTTCGAAAATGCGAGCCACGACCAAACCTTCCAAACGGTCCAAGGCACGTTGATACTTTCTATTAGCTACGAGTCTCCCTGCCCTTCTGCCATTCTTCATCTTCTGGAACCCAGCGAGCGATGATACCGAGTTTGCATTCTAATAACTGAACCAACTTCAGGTTTCTCTCATAGTCCTCGAGAGCGTGGCGCCGCGTGCTTTCAACCTTGCATGTGTTTTCCAATGTCTGCGCCGTATGATGGAGTATTGTGCGTTCCGAACATGTTCATTCCTGCGTCAAGAGCAACTCTGTTTTTTGGGGGCTTCAGTAACTACGAGATACATACACCAAAAAGTAAAACTTACTTGCTTGCACTAAGATTGACTAATCTCTGCCAGTACTCCATTTGAAGTGTCTCTTCTTCAGGCTCTCGTGTTAGACCCTTAAGGTACGATTTTCTCGTCTTCGAGCCAACATTCAAAGACGCTCTCGTCTTCGACTCTTGAGCTCTTGCATAACCTTCGGTAGGACAGCTTCGCCATTGGCGATGATCTCGAGAGCTTGGTTGTAGTTACCATGCAAGAAATTTGCTAGCCAACCAATAGTTATGTCAGCGAGCGCTTATGATAAACAGAACAACATACAAAGATTGCCATATACCTCGAGCTCGTCGTTATGCTCGAAATATGAATCGATAGCCTGTTGACAATGGAAAACGCTAGTATACCGTAGAGCCGATGCAAGGGAGTTTGACTTGGAGAACGTCCGCTCACAAGTCTCCAGATCTTCGATACCAATGCCTTTGATGTAAGTTGTTAATGAAAAAAGCTGACATAACCGCCTGTGCGCATGTCCGTTGAAACGCGCCAACCAGGCAAACTATGATGTAATGAGCGCGCCCAAGGGGGACCAAGAGAGCTGTTGTCAAGAGTAGTCTGAAACTGACAGCCGATGTCATAGCCACCGCCCAAATCGTCGCCAAATGCATCTAGCAGCTTGGCAACAATAGCCAAGGGGTATTTTTGCACTGTAGAATACCTGTTAGAAATATAAAACAAAAAGACTAAGTACTACTCACCGCTCCCCGCTCTGCACCATGTCTGCGATAAGTAAACAAAAGCCGTGGCGGCATACGGCGACGAAGACACCAGTTTTCGTCATAAATACCCCAAGCTTTTTTGTCTCGCATCGTCCATATTTTTCCAACCGGCCTTCGCATGAGTTCTCTGCCAGACTCTGACTGTGTTAGTTGTCTCTACAAAAGGTACGCATCGATTACTCACATTGGCTCCCGTATCACATGGCGTATCCTGTGCAAACTGCTCTACAAAGTTACGAGATAGGTAACGGTCACTAACGAGTACCTGGCCAGTGGGAAGTTTGGACGATAGACCAAGAGAGTCATCGTCGTCATCAAGCGAGCGTCGCAGAATTCGTTTCAATGAGTCGTTCCCGTCCATAGCATAGAGAATCTTGAAGTGTAGCTTCTCTTCGTCAGTTAGCGTGTAAGTGCATGCAGGGCATGCATGTTTGAGGCGCCAGTCAGGCGAGTCGCGTCGGAGGGATTTGTTGATGAGCGAGGCCACAACCCGTCTGATTTGAAGATATATGTCAAGTGCAATTGAAAATTGACGTGAGATGTGCCGATGGAATTCCACCTGTAGTATGTGTATGTGTTTAGCATGGAGCACAATAGAACTTAAAATCGTACCCCGTGTAAATCGCATATCGTTTTGACAAAGGCTTGGATTGACAAGTGAGGGTTCCTGAGGTGCGCCACCCGATATAACTCAAGGGCTTCTAATGTTATGCCCGCCACCGGTGATATCGGGGAGCAGGGCATGACGCCTTGACGAACAAGTGCAGAAGCAATTGTACGGTCCGTCGATGATATTTTCAGTACAAATTTCTCAGCAACTTTTACAAATGATGTGATAAACACAAACACCGAAACTAGCAAGTAACTCACAGAACGCGTCTACTACTGTCACTGGCCATTGGCCACCATTCAAATCGGTCACCTCAGTCTCTTCGCTGCGTAGGCGATCATAAAAACTCTTGAAGCCCTTTTGCGATTTCTCCAGGCTCCATATAAGGTATGATTCGCTCATTATTTGTATTTGCTCGTTGAAAGCAAGATTTCTTCGCAGAACACGATCACGCCGTGTGCGATTGTCGACACGTTGAACCCTGTGAGCACCATCTTGATCCTTTCTGATGTGCGTGTCAGTTGCTGACTATCTGCTAACATGCACTCACAATTTCCAGACCTCACCCAGAACACCTCTCGCCAGGTCTCTGAACTCTCCGCCAGCGTGGCTAATGGGGAGTGCATCAGTACCATCCCAGATGTCGCCGAGATTGAAATCATCGGAGTCCTCAGCAATGTTAGGTGGGTTAGTTGGTGGGTCTCTGAGAGCTTCCAGAGCTTGGCGCTCCTCGGTTGTCATTGCTATAAACCAGGTTAGTGTTCTGGTTGTTTTTTGAGCACTTGGACCAGGCTTACCTTGTAGGCGAGTCTCCCGCCGCTGTTTACAGCTGGCTGCTTGCAGAACCAACACTCTATGTTTGATCACCTTCGATACACGGTTAGTGGGAAGCCCATCCTTATCTCGCGAGGAGCCTATGTGGCGGATAGACCGCAAAGACAGGTTAGTGCGAACTCGTTGTGTCTGACGTCCTCCTGGATTCCGCATTTTTTTTCTTTCATACAAGCCAGCTATGGGTACATTTTTTGCACATTGAGCTGTGTGTGACTAATCATAAACGTTATTAGTGCACATTTCCATCAATTCCCCCTCATTCAATTAACCATTTCCTTAAGTGTCTTATATCCACCATGTCACGCACTCCCTCACCATCCATCATTTCTTGCCACGATGATCACGTCCGGGACTTATGTCAGTTGGTTGAAAGCTTAACCGTATCAGGTGGGTCGCAGGTCTATATCATCTGACAATCACCCGCCTCACGCTCTCAAACAGGTTCATCGTTGGATACTATTAGCTGGAAGCGCAAGACTGTTGAAGAGAGTATCACCCTTTCCAAAGCATCACACACCAACTCCTCGCATGTCAATCAAACCATCCCAAACTCCGATCTATCTACTAGCTCCCGCGCACAAGACCATCTGCCGCCTTCGAGTTCATCATCACATGCGCAACATTCTACGAATGTCGCACTTCTTCCAATGCAGGTACCAAAACCTAGCGATATCGCACCCCCACATGCTGGTTTAGAACCTGAAGGGTTCTGGTTAATTACCGTCGGCCAAGAAGTAGGCATCTTCTATCACTGGTAAGCATTGCGACCTCTCACTTATAATAATATTGACACTCATATAAGGGCTGACGTGGCTGAACGCACCAACTTTGTGAGCGGTAACGTTCAGAAGCGGTACCCCTCGTTCCAGAAGGCACTCGAGGTATATACAGTACAATATAATGAAGGTAGAGTACGAGCAGTACCAACCCCGGGTGGCCCTTTCTGGCTGCCTGCATCCCCACCTTCCCCCTCTTGGTCCGCTGACTCGGATGACTTGTGGTCGCAGGTAGACGACTTATCGGAGACAATGACACACTATGAACTTTAGATACCTTCGTAGTAGTTCACTATCTCAGCCGTGTACATATACATGACTTGCTTGTAATTCCTTAGCAATGGAATCTTTATGCTCGGATCACAAAATGTGCTAGCTACTATGCGTGATTACAAAATTGATGCAGATGTGCAACTGTGATTGAACGACATTGGACTGCATAGTTGCATTACCTTAATAGTCTGCATGTATCCCGCAAGTGTAATTAGCGATTAGCCAGTGATATACAAGAGTCATAGTCCTAAATCGAGGTCCACTGCACTCACCACACATTCAGTATAACAGATGACCTAACCTTGGACGCAGTTGGTGGTTTAGAATTCTATGGTAGTGCAACATGCTAGAGATACAATGACATTCGCTATGTGTTCGCCATCAATTCGCCATGCGTT